CTCAGTCCTGGTCTAGAAGCCTCAGTCCTGGGTCCTACAGGCCATCCTGGATCGACAGCCTCGAGTCCTGGGTCTAACAGCCTCAGTACCTGGGTCTGAGCCTCAGTCCTGGGTCTTACAGCCTCAGTCCTGGGTCTACAGCCTGCAGTCTCAGGTCTGGTAAGCCTCAGTCCTGGGGCTACAAGCCTCAGTCCTGTGTCTACAGCCTCAGTCCAGGTCCTAGAGCCTCAGACCAGGGTCTACAGCCACAGTCCCTGGGTTCTAGACTTCAGTCTGGGTCTACAGCTCAGTCCTGGGTCTACAGCTCAGTCCGTGGGCTACAGCCTCAGTCCTGGGTCAGACTTCAGTCCTGGGGTCACACCTCAATCCCTGGGGTCTAAAAGCCTCAGTACCTGGGTGTAGAGGCTCAGTCGGGCCTACAAGCCTCATCCTTGGGTCTACAGCCTCAGTCTGGTCTAGAGCCTCAGTCCATGGTCTACAGCCTCCAGCCTGGATCTAACAGCCCTCAGACTTGGTCTACAGCCTTAGTCCTGGTCTACAGCCTCAGTCCTGTCTACAGCTCATTCCAGGTCCACAGCCTCAGCTCCTGGGTCTAAAAGCCTCAGTCCTGGGTGTAGAGGCTCAGTCCTGTGTCCTTAAACAGCCCTCAGTCCTGGTCTACATCCTCAGCCGGGGTCTAACAGCCCTGTCCTGGATACAGCCTCAGTCCTGGATCTACAGCCTCAGCATGGGTCTAAAACCATCAGTCCTGGTCTACAACCATCATCCGGTGTCTACAACCTCAGTCCCTGGTCTACAGCCTCAGTCCTGGGTCTACACAGCCTCATCCTCACTGGGTCCAAGCTTCAGTCCTGGTCTACAGCCTCATCCTGGGCTAAAGCCTCAGTCCTGGATCTACACCTCAGTCCCTGAGGTCTAGCAGCCTCAGCTCCTGGTCTAGCAGCCCAGGCCATGCGTCGAAAACCTCAGTCCTGGGTCTACAACCTCAGCCATGGTTCATACCACAGTCCTGGGTCCCTACAAACCTCAGCGTCCTGTCCAGAGCTTCAGTCCTGGTGTAGAGGCCTCATCCGTGTCTACAGCCTCAGTCCCTGGTCAAATCCTTCAGTCTGGTCTACAAAGGCCTCAGTCCTGGTCTAGAGCCTCAGTCCTGGGTTCTAGAGCCCTCAGATCCCTGGGTGTAGAGCGCTCAGTCCCTGGGTCTACAACAAGCCTCAGTCCTGGGTCTAGAGGCCTCAGTCCTGGTCCTAAGAGCCTCAGTCCTTGGTGTAGAGGCCTCATCCTGTCTACAGCCTCATTCCTGGCTCACCTCAGTCCTGGTCTACAGCCTCAGTTCCTGGTCTACAGCCTCAGTCCTGGGGTTACAGCCACAGTCCTGGGTCAAGAGCCTCAGTCCTGGGGTCTACAGCTCAGATCTGGTCCTACAGCCTCAGTCCCTGGGTCAAGCAGCCTCAGTCTGGTCGCATAGCTTCATTCCCTGGTCTACAGCTCAGTCCAGGTCTACACCGCAGTCCTGGGTCAGAGCTTCAGTCCTGGGTCCACACCCCTCAGTCCTGGGTCTAAGCCTCATCCTGGTCCACAGCCTCAGCCTGGGTCTGAAACCCTCAGTCTTAGTCTACAACCTCAGTCCTGGGTCCAGAGCGCTTTAGTCCTGGGTCTATAGCCTCAGTCCCTGGGTCTACAGCCTCAGTCTGGCTACAGCCGCAGTCCTGGGCTCTAGAGCCTCAGTCCTGGTCCAGAGCTTCAGCTCCTGGTCAACATCCTCAGTCCAGGTCTACAGCCTCAGATCCTGGTCTAGAGCCTCAGTCCTGGGTCTACAAGCGCAGATCCTGATCGACGCCCTCAGTCCTGGTCTACAGCCTCAGCCTGGCTAGAGCCTCAGTCCTGGGTCTACACCTCATCTGGTCTACAGCCTCATCCCTGGTTCTAGATCCTCAGTCCTGGATGATACAGCCTCAGTCCTGTTGTCTACAGCCTCATTCCTGGGTCTAGAGCCTCAGTCCTGGGTCTACAGCCTCAGTCCTGTCTAGAGCCTCAGTCCTGGTCTACAGCTCAGTCCTGGGTCTAACAGCCTCAGACCTGGTCCTACAGCCCTCAGTACCTGGGGTCAGAGCTTCAGTCCTGGGTCCACAGCCTCAATCCTGGTCTATAGCCTGCAGTCCTGGTGTAGAGGCTCAGTCCTGTGCCTACAGCCTCAGTCCTGGGGCTACAGCCTCATCCTGGGCTAGAGCCCCTCAGTCGTGGGTCTACAGCCTTCATCCTGATCTACAGCCTCAGTCTGGTCTACAGCCTTAGTCCTGGGTCCTCAGCCTCAACTCAGATCAGGCACTGGGTCTAATGCGCTCAGTCCTGGTCACAGGCCATCCCCTGGGTCTACAGCCTCATCCCGGTCTGAGCCTCAGGCCTAGGGTCTAACAGCTCAGATCCTGGGAAAACACCTCATCCTGTCAACTGCTCAGTCCTGGTCTACAGCTTTCAGTCCTGGGTCCACAGCCTCAATCCTGGGTTCTAAAGCCTCAGTCCTGGGTCTACCAGCCTCAGGCTGCCCTGGGTCTACAAGCCTCAGTCCAGGGTCCTACAGCCTTATCCTGTCTACAGCCTCAGCCTGGTCTGCAGCCTCAGTCCTGGGTCCTAGAGCCTCAGTCCTGTCTACAGCCTCAGCCGGGTCTATAGCCTCAGTCCTGGGTCTACAGCCTCAGTGCTGTGTCTAAACCTCAGTCCCTGTCCCGACAGCCACAGTCCTGGGTCCACAGCTCAAATCCTGGGTCTAAATCCTCAGACCTGGGTCTACAGGCTCAGTCCTGGGTCTAGAGCCTCTGTCCTGGGTCTACAGGCTCCAGTCCCTGGGTCTACAGCCTCAGTCCTGGGTCTACAGCCTCAGTCCCTGGGTCCCGAGCTTCAGTCCTGGGTCAACAGCCTCATCCTGGTCTAAAGCTCAGTCCTGGGTGTAGATGCTCAGTCCTGGGTCGACACCCTCAGTCCTGGGTCTAGAGCCTCAGTCCTGGTCTACAGACTCAGTCCTGGGATACAGCCCTCAGTCCTGGTCCAAAGCCTCCATCCTGGTCTAGCAGGCTCAGTCCTGGATCCAGCCTCAGTCCTGGGTCCCGCACAGCCCTCTTTCTCACCTGGATCTACAGCCCTCAGTCCTGGGTCTACACCTCAGACCTGGGTCTACAGCCTCCAGCCATGGGTCTAAAACCTCATCCTGGGTCTACAACCTCTGCCCTTGGGTCCTAAAGCCCTCAGTCCTGGTCTACAGCCTCATCCTGGGTCTACAGCTCAGTCCTGTGTCTACAGGCTCAGTCCTGGGTCTTAACAGCTCAGTCCTGGGACTACAGACTCAGACCCTGGTCTATAGCCTCACCATTCCTGGTCAACAAGCCTCAGTCCAGGGTCCTACACAGCCTCAGTCATGGGTCTACAGCACGTCCAGGGTCTAACCTCCTCAGTCCCTGGACTACAGCCTCATCCTGGGATACAGCCTCAGTCCTGGGTCTACAGCCTCAGTCCTGGGTCCAGAGCTTCAGTCCGGGGTCCACAGCCTCAATACTGGTCTAAAGCCTCAGATCCCTGGTCTAAAACCTCAGCCTGGGTCTGAACACCTCATCCGGTCTCCCGCCTAGGTCCTGGTCTACAGCATCATCCAGGGTCTACACCCTCAGTCCTGGTCTATAGCCTCAGTCCTGGGTCTACAGCCTCAGTCCTTGGGTCTATAGCCTCAGTCCTGGGTCTACAGCCCTCAGTCCTGGTCTACAGCCTCAGTCCAGGGTCTACAACCTCCAAGTCCCTGGGTCTACAGCCTCAGTCCTGGGTCTCAGCCACATCCCCCCTGGGGTTCTACAGCCTCAGATCCTGTCTAGAGCCTCAGTCCCTGGGTCTACCGCCAGTCCTAGGGATACAGCCTCAGTCCAGGGTCAAACTACAGGCTCAGTCCTGGGTCTACAGCCTCAGTCCTGGGTATATAGCCTCAGTCCTGGTCTATAGCCTCAGTCCTGGGTCTATAGCCTAAGTCCTGGTCGACAGCCTCACGCTTGTAGACCCAGGACTGGTCTACAGCCTCAGTCCCTGGGTCCTACAGCCACAGTCCGGGGTCCTACAAGCCTCAGTCCTGGTCTACAGCCTCATCCTGGTCTACAGCCTCTGTCCTGGTCTAGAGCATCAGTCCCTGGGTCTACAGGCTCTTCCGGGTCCTACTGACCTCAGTCCTGGTTCTACAGCCTCAGTCCTGGGTCCAGAGCTTCAGGTCCTGGGTCCACACCTCAATCCTGGGTCTAAAGCCTCATCCTGGGTCTAGAAGCCCTCAGTTCCTGGGTCTAGAGCCTCAGTCCTGGGTCAAGAGCCTCAGGTCCCTGGGTCTACAGCCCATCCGGGGTCTTCAGCCTCAGTCCTGGGTCTAAAACCTCAGTCCTGGTCTACAACCTCAGTCCTGGGTCCAGAAGCGTTATCCTGGGTCTACAGCCTCAGTCCTGGGTCTACACTCAGTCCTGGGTCTACAATCCTCAGTCCTGGGTCCTACTACGCAGGCTCAGTCCTGGATCTACCAGACTCAGCGCCTGGGTCTATAGCTCAGTCCTGGGGGTCTACAGACTCAGCCCTGGTCTATAGCCCATCCTGGGATTACAGCCTCAGCCCTGGGTCTAAAACCCTCAGGTCCTGGTCCAAGAGCTTTAGTCCTGGTCTATACCGCACAGTCCTGGTCCTACAGCCTCAGCCCTGGGTCTAAATCCTCAGTCCTGGTCAACAACCTCAGACTTGGTCTATAGCCTCAGTCCTGGTCCATAGCTTCATCGGTCCACAGCCTCAATCCTGGGTCTAAAGCCCGCAGACCCTAGGTCTACAACCTCACCCTGGGTTCTAACAGCCTCAGTCCTGGGTCCCAGAGCTGGGTTAGTTAGTGTCCCCGGCCCTCCCCACAGCACCTAACCCTACCCCATGTAGATCCAGGCCGCCCCCACGCCTGCACATAGGCCCCCCCCTGGAGGGGCGTATTTTTGCTGAAGTTAAGACGTGCTGTTATGTGGACTATCCACAGTGATCCCTGTGTCCCTCTGTGGTAATGTGACCAGGAAGCAGCTGGTCAACACAAGCTCCGCACTATCCCTATCATACAGTTTGTTGGTACATTGGTGTGATGGTAACCTTGGTGTTGATGGTTCCTTGCGTGGTGGATGTGGTCCAGGGCAGCGGACTGGGTCGTCTCGGGTGTGGAGTCCAAAGGTCAGGCGGCTGCTCGCGGACGTTGATGATGTTTTCAAATCAGTGGAAGTACCACTTTGTAGGAATACTGACTCGTCATTCACTGAGGTATGTTATTGTCATCTGGATAAATCAATCTCGGTTTATTATATTCTATGTAATAACATGAAAAATGTTGAATAATTATTCCATAACAAAAAAAAATAACATAAAGTACATTCTTTGTTGTACAAACTACAAACTACAACTAAAATGTACACACGATACAATATTCTAAGAAGTATATAACTGAACTCGGCAAGCCACACATTATATGCATAATATCTGTTCACAAAAAATTTGTTCATATGGTTTTTTAGGTGTAATGTTTTTTTTTATTCATTTTTTACAATCATTTATTTTGTCGAGTGATGAAAAATATGGATAATTTACAACAACTAAGTCTGTAGTTAATTTTTTTTAGGTGGTTGAGAAGAGTTGTCTGATCTGTCTCTGACATCGCAGGATCGGACCATCATTTGGAGCACTTCACTTTCACTCAATAAACACATTTTCTCATAATCTATTCTTATCTTTCCTTGGTTATTTTACAAGTTTCTGCTCCTGTTTAATTTTTTTTATGGTTGCTCACACAGGTAACATCCATAATGTTGAGATCCATCAATCCTTTTTCTACCCTTTAATTCCATTTCTGCGGTCAGGGGGGTCGGCATGTCACTGAGTAAATGTTCACCCAAGTCTGCATAGCATCCAGCCCTCTACTGACCCTCTGCAGGTGGTGAGGTCCACAGGGAGGGACGGATGCTCATCTGGAGGTGTGAGCATAGGCTTGACTGTTCAGTGGGAGCTTTGGGCAAAGTGGGGTTATGTGTCTTCCCAAGGACACAACGACAGCAGTCATACAGTGGAGTCGGTGTGAGATTAATTATATAAATGCTAAGAATATGGTCAAAACTTGTAAAATGTTGGTTGTAATGATGAAATTCTGTTGCACTTTGTGACTGTTGTGATGGTGTGGGACGACTAACATATGGTTATGCTTTTGTGAAAATGATTGTGTACTGAAGAACTGCTGAAGTCAAAAACAACATGATGCTTATGTCTTGGGACGGGAGTGGTTCAGCAGTTACACTTCAGTCTAACTGTCGCAATCACAAATACCACAAAGGACCAACAGAACAGCTCTGAAGGCATCGTGGACGAAACATCATGAAAAATATCTGCTGTTTCAGAGAGGCCATGGTTTAGGTCCATTTCCTGTTTTGTGATTTGTCAACACCTGCATCTTTCTCATTAAACGCTGTGTATTCCTTCACTCCCTGTCTACGTCATGTCCACGTCTGTTTTAGTTCTTCTTGTCAGACCCAAAATGCACGACTGCTAAAAAAGTAAATTAATAAAATGTAATATCAATATAAAATACAGAAACCAGGAAAAAGGGACCAAACAGAGACGGACGACAAGAACTAAAACAGACTCTGAGGACTCAGGACAAAGACCAGGAAGTGAAGGAGGACACCGTGTTTAAACCATAGATCCATGGTTTAAACACGGCTAACGAGACACACACATGCGGTCGTCAGGAAACAGGAAGTAAATCTAAGGAAGATACAGGGATGACAAACTACAAAACAAAAGAGGAAATAACCCTCACGCTGACATTGGGGTGATGAGCGCATGTGCTTCGTCTTCAGAACTTTGGGACTTTTTTGTTTTGTAGTTTATTTCTATGTAATTATTAATTATTAAATTATATTTTATTTTTATTATTCTAATTGGAATGTGAGGAGTTCTGTCTTTCACTCAAATTCAGATGTAGCCATTTTTTGTTGCTTTGTAAATAACTTTCTGTGGCAGCTATAGGTCCTGTTCAAGGTTCTGGTTCTGGTTCTGGTTGATTTTCCACCAGAGAGAAGCCAGTACTAGTTACCATAGCAACACAGTTTACTTGCAGCAGTTAGCATCAGTCTTCATTATCAGTCTTTCGCTGTTTATTTCATCAGTTTCAGCTTAAAAAAAATATTATAAATTACTAACTTTTAATAAATCAGGAGGAAAACTCTATTAGTAGTTTCAGAATTCTGAGATTCCTCGTGTTAAACAAAACAAGGCGACGCAAAACACTACAGTCTGAACAATAACAGGTGTGTGTCACATCTGTGACACACAAGTCACATCACACGCTGAGCCCACAACAACAGCTCACACACACAGTACAGTTGTGTGTATGTGTGTGCGTCTCACACACACACAGTACAGATGTGTGTATGTGTGTGCGTCTCTCACACACACAGTACAGTTGTGTGTATGTGTGTGCGTCTCACACACACACAGAACAGATGTGTGTATGTGTGTGCGTCTCTCACACACACAGTACAGTTGTGTGTATGTGTGTGCGTCTCACACACACAGTACAGATGTGTGTATGTGTGTGCGTCTCACACACACAGTACAGATGTGTGTATGTGTGTGCGTACCTGTGTGTGTCACAGGGAGGGCAGTGTGGCAGGTCGTATCCAGGTGAGTCGGTGCAGCCCATGTCGTTAGAGTACGGCACGCCCAGGTAATAACTGAACCCTGAGCACAAAGGAAAACAAGTTGTGAAACAAGGAAAAAAGCTTGTTTACTTTATCAAAACTATAATTGCTCTAAAAGTTCCTCAATTAAATAAACTAAACTCGTCCTGGTCTGGTTTTATTAGTCATCTGTGTTCTTCCAAATACAAGAATCAACTAGGATTAATTGTATCAATAATCATTTTGTTACGAACGGAATGTTTTAAGAGATCCATTGTTCCTTTGGCTGTCAGACTGTACAACAAACCTGGATGAGTTTTCTGCTGCTGAAGGATCAATAAAGGATCTATCTATCTATTAATCAATGAACACACACAGTCCTATATATATTCTCTCTATTGTAAAGTAAATGTACAGACCGTAAAAATGGATCCATCGAAATCAATGACATTCACCAGATGTACTGTACCCGTCTAGTGGTCGCACTATACACACTACAGGGTAATATTGACTGATCTCTGGTTACATCCCGCCCAGACAAGTTCCATTTTTGGCATTCTGGTTTCAGGAAAATTGTATATTTCCGTAATGTGTATGTAGTGAGAGAAATACTGGTTAGCTCTCTCGCCACTCAGCAAAAAGGTCCTGGGTTTGAGGTCCTTGATCTGCGTCACGGGTCTGCGTGGGAGTGATGGAGATGGTGGAACCTTACTACAGAGACCACCGCTCCTGACAGAGGCCTATCGTGGCATTGGAAAGATGGGTCAAATGCAGAGGACACATTTTGGACAAAGTCACCACTTTACAAACTATCGGCCTGTTTCCCTTATGCCACAGTTTTCTAAAATATTAGACAAACTATTTGACACTAGACTTCGCTGCTTTATTGAAAACCACAAGTTACTGTCCAATAGTCCATATGGATTTAGACAAAACAGATCCACTTCACTAGCACTAATTGATTTAATTGAAGAAATTACTAATGGTATTGAGAAAAATAAATTTGTTTTAGGGATTTTCATTGACCTTCAAAAAGCGTTCGATACAATTGACCACCATATTTTGATAGACAAATTTGAGAGCTATGGCATAAGGGGACAGCCTAAACAATGGTTAGAGAGTTATTTACGTGAGAGAAGGCAGCTGGTACAGATTGACCAACACAAATCAGGATTTAAGAACATAACGTGTGGAGTACCTCAAGGATCAATACTTGGACCCACTTTATTCATAATGTACATAAATGATATATGTACAATATCAAACTTAATGAAATTCCTTCTCTTTGCCGATGACACAAATATCATATGAGCAGCTCTTGGTCGCTCTAACTGTTGAAATGAACAAACTAACGACCTGGTTTAATACAAACAAGTTGTCATTAAATATAAAAAAGACCAAGATTATGCTTTTTAGCAATCGCAGATGTAATATTCCTGTCAAGATTGTCATTGACAATACAGAAATGGAAAAAGTTTACCAAAATACATTTGTAGGAGTTGTAATAGATGATAAAATATCCTGGAAACCCCACATAAATTTGATCAGGTCAAAAGTTGCTAAATGTGTTGGAATGATGAGGAGAGCAAGTCATTTACTCAACACCAATGCTCTTCTATTATTGTATCGTTCTTTCATCATGTCATATTTACATTACTGTATTGAAGTGTAGGGAAACTGCTACAAATCCCACTTACAGCCTCTGATCACGCTGCAGAAAAAGGCCATAAGGATTGTCTCTAATGTTCACTACAAGCATCATACTCACCCACTGTTCATAGAGTTGGAAGAATTTAAATTACAAGATTTGATTCACTTTAGAACTGCTCAGATTATGTTCAGGGCATCAAAAAACTCTCCTCCAAATGTTCAGAATTTATTTCGTGACAGAGACGCGCATCATAGTCATAGACTAAGAGGAAATAAAACTGTATACTTGCCTAAATTTAGGACCACTTTAAAGTCAATGTGTGTCTCAGTGCGAGGAGTTTCTCTATGGAATACCTTAAAGGATGAACTTAAAAATAGTACAAATCTGACTCAATTTAAAGCTTTGTTTAAAAAAGATGTACTAAAGAAATACAAGGAGGAAAGAGAGTGATGCCCTCAGCACAGAGCGAGTGAAGGCAGAGAGGGGTGGGGTCAGAGCGTTCGGGCCTGTGTGTGTGTGTGTGTGTGTGTGTGTGTGTGTGTGTGTGTGTGTGTGTGTGTGTGTGTGTGTGTGTGTGTGTGTGTGTGTGTGTGTGTGTGTGTGTGTGTGTGTGTGTGTGTGTGTGTGAGAATGTGCGTGTATGCGCATGGGTTTTTTTTTTTTTTATATATATATATATATATATATATATGTATATATATATATATATATATATATATATATATATATATATATATATATATATATATATATATATATATATATATATATATATATATATATATATATACATTTTTTGTTGTATACCATTGGTGGTAGTATCGTATTGAAATTCTTGGCAAAATGTACAATAGTATTCTTGTATACCATTGGTGGTAGTGTTGTATTGACAGTAGTACTTTGTAATGTGATTTTTGGATTATTTTGACGGGTGCTGTGTGGGTGAGAGGGTTGGGCTAAAATAAGCATAGTGCTTCATCCAACCCCTTTTCAAACCTTGAACATATGTGTCTGAACATTTGTCAAATGTGTCTTCTGTGCAGGTTTTGAAATAAAGAAATAAATGAAATGAAATGAACATCTATATACAGTATGACTGATTTTCCAAATGGGATAAATGTGGGTGTGAAAGTTGAGCTTTTTAAAGTCAAGGGCAAGAGAAGGCCCAAAGACACAATAGTAGTTTGTTTAGTCTCGTCCCTCTAACCAGACGTTCACTCAGACACAGAAAGAATGGAAGACTTAGAATCATTGGCTGTAATAACGACTACGAATCACAGCTGTCTCTTCTCTACATCTCTTCTTCTGTGGTGAATACCTCTGTTGGTGGGGCTGTACGGTCTGTTATGGCCCAGATGCCACTTGCCGATCATAGCAGTGTGGTAGCCGGCAGCTTGGAGGAGTTGAGGAAAGGTGACCTCAGACAAAGGCAGGCCGGCGACAGAGTTCACGGCAAAGTTGTGGGTCACTCCGTTTCTCAGGCCGTATCGTCCGGTCAGGAGCGCAGCACGAGACGGAGAGCAGGTGGAGGCTGGAGAGTGGAAGTCTGTGAATCTGTGTCGAAATGAGTTATTAGTTTACAAATCTGGATATTATAATATAGAAAAATGTCCCACCTGAGTCCCTGCTGGGCCATCCAGTTTAGGTTGGGAGTGTTGTTCTTTCTAACCTCAGGATTTAAGTTTGCATCAAGATCGCCCCAGCCTATGTCATCCGCTAATATGATGATGAAGTTGGGTTTTTTAGCAGTGTCTTGGAGGTGCATCAGTAAAACACATAGAAACACACTGGGCAGAAGAAGTGTGCCTATAACGTCTGCCATATCCGTCAGTGAGTCATGCCTGCAAAGTACAACATACATTAAATAATACTATATTACTTATGTATAGAATCATTTTGTTAGGTTTGATGAACAACAGGCTCGGGTTCTACCAGAGGCCTGGGAGTTTGAGGGTTCTGTGCAGTATCGTTGCTGTTCCGAGGAATGCACATTTCTAGACCGAGATTTCCGAGGTTCTTCTAGAGATCTGCTGTAACCTCCAGCTTCGGAGTCACTGCCCCGAGTGCACCGATCACCACAGGCACTACTGTCCCCTTCACCTCCAGTCCCTCTCCTGCTCCTCTCTGAGCCCTTGGTATTTCTGGTGCTTCTCGTGCTCCTTCTTCATGATGAATACATTGCATGGAACTGCCACTTCCACCATCTTCCTCTGCCCTCTGTCCCTCACCACCATTTCTTAATCCTACAGGGACGACATCAAGCTGTACACCAGGAGCAAAAGACTCCCTGATCCATACCACCAGGATCTCTTTTCTTTTTTTGCACATTGGGTTATGTAAAAAATTATATTGTATTTGAATGCTGGGGTTATTTGGGTCATTCGGACTCGAGAAATGTAGCAGGATGGTGACTCGGAGTGGCAAGGTCGTCCACACAGAAGAGATCTCACTCCCAGAGAGCGACAATAGCAGACGTTGAGGTATCTCGGTATACCACAGGCAAATGGCAACCTCCAACAGGCAACGAGGAAAACGGCAACTGCCAAATACCTCCGGAGAATAAGGCAGGTCCTAAGAAGCAACTCACTGGCAAGAACAAGGCCGGGGCAATTAACAGATACGCCCTGCCAGTGATCAGACCCTGCAGGAATAATCAGGGGCCAAAGGTAGAGATTCAAACACAGATGTTAAAACTCGAAAGCTCTCCTTAATGACGGGTTCCATCCCAAATCCAGAACCCTGAGACTGTACGTAAGCCGTAAATAAGGAGGCCGAGGACTGGTGAGTGTGAGAGCCACTGTCCAGGACCAAACATCCAAACTCCAGAACTACATCATGGAGAAGGCCAAACATTAGACAAGAGCCAAGAAGGATATGTGGTGATCCAACACATAACTGCAGGAAACCTCACGGTCCAAATGGGAAACTCCTCGAAGGTGGTGGAGAATGAGCTGGTCTGAGCCTGGGAGCCTCAGTCCTGGATCTACAGCCTCAGTCCTGGGTCTACAGCCTCAGTCCTGGATCTACAGCCTCAGTCCTGGGTCTACAGCCTCAGTCCTGGGTCTACAGCCTCAGTCCTGGGTCTACAGCCTTAGTCCTGGGTCTACAGCCTCAGTCCTGGGTCTACAGCCTCAGTCCTGGATCTACAGCCTCAGTCCTGGGTCTACAGCCTCAGTCCTGGATCTACAGCCTTAGTCCTGGGTCTACAGCCTCATTCCTGGATCTACAGCCTCATTCCTGGATCTACAGCCTCAGTCCTGGATCTACAGAATCAGTCCTGGATCTACAGCCTCATTCCTGGATCTACAGAATCAGTCCTGGATCTACAGCCTCATTCCTGGATCTACAGAATCAGTCCTGGGTCTACAGCCTCATTCCTGGATCTACAGCCTCAGTCCTGGATCTACAGAATCAGTCCTGGGTCTACAGCCTCAGTCCTGGGTCTACAGCCTCAGTCCTGGGTCTACAGCCTCAGTCCTGGATCTACTGCCACAGTCCTGGGTCTACAGCCGCAGTCCTGGATCTACTGCCGCAGTCCTGGATCTACAGCCTCATTCCTGGATCTACAGCCTCAGTCCTGGGTCTACAGCCTCAGTCCTGGGTCTACAGCCTCAGTCCTGGGTCTACAGCCTCAGTCCTGGGTCTACAGCCTCAGTCCTGGATCTACTGCCTCAGTCCTGGATCTACAGCCTCATTCCTGGATCTACAGCCGCAGTCCTGGGTCTACAGCCTCAGTCCTGGGTCTAAAGCCTCAGTCCTGGGTCTACAGCCTCAGTCCTGGATCTACAGCCTCAGTCCTGGGTCTACAGCCTCAGTCCTGGATCTACAGCGTGTCTGTCCGTAGGAGCAGATCCCTCTCTCAGTGTGGGCCTCACTCCACAGTTTCTCATTTTCCCTTTGGGGTTATGAGAGGTTCTTTGCAGATGCAAGAGGGTCTAACTACAGTAATGATCCAAGACATTTATTAATGTTCCAAAAGCTCCACTGACCACTGAGATTGTTATTATTGCTTTTCCTGTTTTCGAACTCTTTGACTCTCTGATCAGTTGTTGATGAAGTTGTTTGTTTGTACATTTCTGTGAATAATGTGAACAGGATTCATACGTCTATTCTACTAACAATAATTTCAAAAGAAAAACAATACAAAACTGGCACAACGGGGACAGAACTGGCTGTAACCAGATGAGTGACCCCCCCCCCCCCCTTCCTCCTCCCTCCCTCCCTCCCTCCCTCCTCCTCGTGGTGCGGGGAGGAGCCTCCCCCGGTGCGGCTCTAGATCAGACCTATGGAGAGGACGCGGCTCTAGAGCAAGACGCGTGGCTCCGACAAAGGACCATGTGTGAACAGGTGCTGCTGTATTGTTCCAAACCAACCGTGGGCTCAGGACTGTAGCAGCGGAGCGGCCGCAGAGGACTCTCCAGGTTCGAGGTGAGTGAAGTTCTTTGTGCGAGCTCTGAGATGTCCGCTGAACGCATCACGAGAAGCCCCCTCATTGGAGTGCGTGCGCAGCGTCAGACGCTCCTGGGCTGGTCCAAGACTACATTCACAACATAAACAATGTTAGACTTTTTTATTGCTAATTCGGGCTCTGCATTCATTTATAGCCCCTTAATTTGAACGGAATTAAATCACTTCATTAATTTAAATCATTGTCCAGTTTGGAGAATACTGCTCACTTTGGTAATCCTAAATCTGTGGAGTGCAGACCTTCAGACATTACATAAAGCCCAAGGCCCATAGTGAGTAGGAGAAAGGTACAGATTACAATTATAAGATATACTTCATTGTCCCCAAGTGCAGTGTGTTGCACTACACACACACACACACAGACACATACACACACGCACACACACACAGTGGGAAAAGTGCTGTCATGCTCAGACATACCTGTCTAGTTAATTAATTAATATTTCTTGAATATGAAGTGGTCCGTATGTACTGATCTACTGTGTTTGTTTCTGCCAATAGATGTAGAACTGATTTGTACAAATGAACTTCAGTTTGGTCCAAAGTGTTATGTTCTCTTTTGCAGAATATGGAAGTGAAGCTGAAGCTCGCACGGTGCTTGGGGGCTAATGTGTACCCCGCTGCCCCTGATGGGGGCTGGGGCTGGATGGTGGCCCTGGCTTTTTTTGTGGTGGAAGTGTTCACTTATGGAACCATCAAAATCTTTGGAATCTTCCTCCAGGACCTCATCGGAGAGTTTGGAGAGAGCAACACCAGAGTGTCCTGGATCGTTTCCATCTGTGTTTTTGTCATGGCCTTTAATGGTGAGCGTCTCTCACAAGCATAACACTGCAGACATAACAAAAGTGAATAAACTGTTCTTGTCTGAAACTAGGTCCTCTCTCGTCTGTGCTGACAACTCGATTTGGGTTCCAGCCTGTTGTTATGTTTGGAGGATTACTAATATGCTCTGGAACTATAGCGACCAGCTTTACTACCTCTGTTAATCAAATGTACCTCACATATGGAATAGTTGCAGGTAACTTGTATCCATGAAATCATCCTATTATTAATATTAGTGTAAAGAACTTGACATCAGTTTTATTTTGTTATAGGCTTTGGTTACTGCCTCACTTTCTTGCCCACTGTGACCATCTTAGCTCAGTACTTTAATCAGCGCCGATCTTTGGTCACTGCTTTGGCCTCCACTGGAGAGTCACTGTCCATGTTTGCCTTGGCACCAGGTAAATCAACATATAACTCCAGCTACTAACCTTATTATTCCGAGCCTTTTTGATGGCATTTATAACGGTATAATTAACTCCATTATTTTTCTACTTCAAGCCTTCTCTGCTCTGAGGGATAAGATTGGCTGGAGGCAGACTATGGTAGTCATTGGGGCCTTGCAAAGCACCGTGATTATAGCTGGTGCCATGTTGCGGCCAATCGTCATTGATCCAAGCCTCAAAAAGGAATCGGAAGACACCAAATCCTCCTCCAAAGAGACTAACAAAGCAGATTCTGCAAAAAATGGAATCAGCCAGGAGAACGAGCTGACGGGAGACTCCGGAATCCAATCCCTGAAGGACACAGACAACCGCAACTCTGAGGAGAAGATACTGTTAGAGAAAAGCAATGGATGTGAACAAAACCTAGAGCAAATGCAGAGCAAAGATGTTGAGGAACTGAAGCCACCAAAAGCTGAAAGCCAAAGCAAAAAACCCAAACTTTTAGACTTCTCAATCCTCAAAGAACTTAGCTTCATCTTCTACTCTTTATTTGGGCTCTTTGCAACCCTGGGCTTCTTCGCTCCACCTCTTTACATAATAGAGCTGAGTGTGAGTTGGGGCGTGGAGAGGGACCGCGCCACCTACATGCTCTCCATCATGGCCGTGGCGGAGATTCTGGGCCGCTTTTCCATTGGCTGGATCCTGACCAGACCCTGCTTGATGAAGAGGAAGCTGCTGGTGCTTCTGGCCTGCATCGTTCTCATGACCGTAGATTTAGTGGGCTTCACTCTGGTGAGAGAGTTCTATGGCCTGGCTGTCTGCTGTGCTCTGTATGGATTCTCTATGGGGACTATCGCATGCACCCACATCCCCTTGTTAGCCGAGGACGATGTGGTGGGAATAGAACGCATTTCTGCCGCTGCTGGAGTGTACGTTTTCATACAGAGTTTTGCTGGATTGGCCGGTCCCCCACTTGCAGGTATGAATCATTTTGGGAAATATGTGCAAAAATAGTTGACATTAGTAACATTTTAAGTATTGTCTATGTTTCTTGCAGGCGCACTGGTGGATGTCACTAATAACTACGGATCTGCCTTTTACTCTTGTGCGGCTGGAATGGCTTTGAGCGCCGTGTTCCTGGCGTTAGTCCGGCCGACAAAAGGAGGCCGTATTTGCAAAAGTAATAGTTCAAGAGAGAGCCCAGATTCCTCTCAGCAAAGAGCCGTGTATCTGAAAGAGGCCAGTACTGACAAAGTTTCTCTGGAAAACGTCGCTTTGGACCAAGACTGTGATCAGAAGCCACACACATGATGACTTGAATGATTGTCTGTCGTGAGTGTGTTGCAATGAAGTGATTGTGTTTCCATCATCTGTAGTTTGGAAGTCATGTCTGTTACAATCTCACAAGTTTACGAACAGTGTTTTAAGATTCCCGAGAAGGAAAAGCAAAGGGGAGAACTTGAAGCCTCCAGTGCCATAGAAGCAGACTGTGAAAAAATGCAGCTACAAGCTCGCACATTTTTACATTTTACTCTTGAAGAAACAACTTAACTTATAACAGAAAATGCACCAAGCTCAGGGCGTGATTTTGTTCCTTTTAGTCTAATTATTTTATAAACGTTTATTTGTGGGAAGATTTACAAAGATGCTATTTTTGTAAGAAAACATACACAATAAAACGACTGTGATTCAAATATTATCATAGTGGAAGGGTTTTTTGTAACCATTAATTAAATGGAATAATAATACTGAAGCTGACAAGTTTAATTGTATAGCACAGTTCATACACAAGGCAATAAAGTCATAATTAATCACATTCAAAAGACTAAAGATAAAAGCAGAGCAACGGTTTTAACCTGGATTTGAACATAGTCAGACTGTCTCTCATTTTCAGGAAGACTTCGCAAATCTGAAATGCCCAGAGTCATGTTTAGTCCTGACTCTGGGCACCAGCAGGAGGCCAGTCCCTGTGCTCCTCAGAGTCCCAGCAGGAGGCCAGTCCCTGTGCTCCTCAGAGTTGGCTCATATGGCACAGGGAGAGACTTGTATCAAACAGGGCTGCTTTAAAATCTGTTCTAGTCACAGGACGCAGAGAGCTGAGAACAGGACTAATGTGATGGTAATAAACAGTTTGTTCCTTCACTAGTTTTCAGTTACAAAGAGGATTACTCTTGCTCAGATCATCTCGGACCAAAGTGTCAAATAGTGACTCCCAGGGCTCTTTCTTGCCAATATGCAAAGGATAAAAAGCTTTCTAATAAGATAAAAAACAGAATGTTGGGGTCTGATCTGTTCACAAAATGTTACCATCTTTCTGCTATACTATTCATATATTATTTATGAAGCAAAAAGATTAGCTAGCCCAGCTTTAATCACATACTGTAAGTGCTAACGTCAAATAACAAACCGACATCAAAGGCTTGGATTCTGTTGGATTCTGTTGGATTCTTGTTGTAGCGTTGACATCCCTTTACTGACGCCAGGCCCAGACCGACAGGATGCACCCTCCACATCCTCGGCTCGATCTGCTCCCTCCTGCAGATCCTAAGGAAGAAAATAAATCATTAGGTAACAAAAATAAACTCGTGTTAAAGCAATGATAAATGTTCATGTGGTGAAAATACAGAAGACATTTTAATATACACAACATATTCTCTACCACAGCCCAAAGTCAGTAACACCGCGGCCCCCTTAAAAATCTGACCGGTCTGCGGGGCCCCCCGAAAAAATTACCAGGAAGACAACGTTAAAAAGAGGCTCTTCTCGTTATTTTATTTGTGGGAAATATCCTCTGCTACGAACATGTAAATGACGCACCCCATTTTGTAATGAAAAAAATATTACAATTTGATTATTCAAGTCAAATAATGAACACAAATATTTTAATATACAAACATAATATTAATTTAAAATACAATAATTATATAAACTATATTATTTTTTTGATGACCTCTCGCGGCCCCCCTGCAATACCCCACTTTTGGAGACAATGCTCCACCATATACGTACATATACGCAGATTTACAATGGATATTACATATTTCCTGTCAAATATTTTGTTGTGAAACTGCCCTGATATTTAGGTCCTGGGAGTGAGAGCATATCAAAACCTCAAATATAAGAAAAATGTTTGAGAAATATCTCTGTATCAAACGCAGATCTTTGGACTTTTACCGAGTGATGTCTCAACACGTGACCCTTGATGAGAAAAGTTTGAACACCCTGCTCCAAGGATATTTATACAACCATCTTGAAACCGATGGATAACATATGTCCAACCTCATGTGTCATTGTGAGAGATGATGAGAAGATACAGTGAAGATGGACTTCTGTGCATGAGGAGTGTGAAGGGACAGTGACCTCCAGAGGAAAGAGCTGCTGATGGGACTATGCCTCCAACACAGAGCTGTCTGTTTTCAGCCTCCTTCATAACAGCTGCTGCAAAAGGCTTCATCTTATCTGGAAAAACGGAAAGCTCCCATTCCTGAACATGAATACTGTACAAAGGTGCCCTCTAGTGGTGATACGTGCTCTGTCTTCAGCACCTGAACATAAGTCATTGATAATTCATGGTAGAGCAGGGTCCTAAATGATGAAATATTCACACCAAAGTTTTAGCGGATAGAAAAGTGATCATATGATAAGCAATACAATATAATGTAATGTTACAGGTATCAGATTGCCAACAACTTAATGATTGTATAGTTTTATGCAGGTTCTTTTCTTTATTTATTTTTTATTTTTTTTACGAAAAATACAAACAGCAAAATTGTTATAGTTATATATCAACAGGAACATTAACCAACATTTCATCTTACCAGTGAGTATTTGGAGATTGTGAGAACCCTGTAGGTCACTAGTTGACGCTGATTGGCTGAGTGAGGGTGGTCCTCTCTTTCTGTCTGAAAAAGCAGATCAGTGACCGTGGCCACCAACGCATGCATGTGCAAACTATTACAGAGCCAGGACAAGGATTTCATTTAATAATTTCTTTGATGGATTCGACTCCAAGTTAAACAAACTACCGCAGTCAGAATAAACCATGAGGTATGGTTCGTGTACTCAGAGATTGTGGTATTTACCTTCATGCAGCGGCGTATACGCAACAGAAGTGGAATAAATGATGAAATACATCCATGATTGAGAGTAGTAAACAAAACCGGAAGTCGTTTTACTGGTCGCCATGACGTCACGAGGTGGCGTAAACACATGGGCGTGTCTAAGCTTGCGTAAAGCCAACGCGCACTCTTCTCACTTGTGTCCCGGTGTTTTCGCTAAATTCTCTCTAAAGAGGTTTTTGGTTTTGTTTTCTGCGTTTAGTCCATGTTTGTATAATCTAAGACCCCGACGGTGAGAGGAGCTGCCACGTGACAGCGGAAGTGTTTCTCTGTAGCATCGGGACAGAAGTTAGCTCCTGTTCCTCTGAGCCCGGGTCTCCTGCTGCCCCCGGGTCTCCTGCTCTCCTGTGCCGATGGTGTCATGATTGAAGCATTTGATTAAGAAAAGGAGAATAAATAGGATTTGCTTTAGCATTAGTGCTGTCAGTGATATGCAGAGGAGGGAGTGCTGCTGAACCTCACACAGCCAGGGATCTACTCTGAGGCTCGGCTCTGTCTGCTCTGGCCTCCTCCACTGGGACAAGGAAACGTCCAATCCCCGGAGAAACAACATGAGGCAGAAGCTGGCTTGGTAAAAGTGTGTGTCAAAGTCAGGCCCGGAGCTGCACAAGCTTTATGCCCATTGGCCTCATCACTCAGAGGGCAGCCATGCGGACTGACAGTCGGTAAGGCTTTTGGCGTAATGATACTGTAGTTTCTGATCTTCTCTCATGCAACTGCCACGTTATGTATTAATTTAACAACTTCAATCTTTTCTGGTCTGTTTGTACATATTTGTTTACCCAGTTCTGCTGAATGTTCGTGTAGATGTGTCACGAAAGCATATTTTGGTTTTCACAGGAAGCGTCACCGCAGCAGTGACAGTGAGGAGGACCAACAGCTGAGTCCTCAGGCCAAACGCTTGAGCTGTGGTCCCTGTCTCTTGGTCTCTGATTTGGATTCAGAGGTAAGGTCACTCATACTGTAGTACTGATCACTAGGCATGAATGACAATAGTCAGACTTTTAGAGAGTATAACATCTGAATATGTTTTTATTTGATTTGTCTTCAGTCCTCCAGCAACGATAGCAGTATTGGTCTCTGCAGTTCTGAAGGAAGATTACTGCTCAGGACGAGCTCCTGCTCACATAGTCAGAGCCACTGCATTGTACAGAGCTCTCCAAGCCCCAAACCTGAAGAATCTGCCAGCCCTTTGCAGCATGGTTTCCATGGTGACAGCAGCAGTGTCTCCTATGACTACATCAACAGTGTGTTACGAGAGGCACACTTCAACAGTCTGCAAACCAGGGGACGTCCAGGCTCCACATGACCCCACATGAAGGCCTGTCCTGCTAAACCAGTCTCCTGGCTCAGAGGTCCCTCATGGAGATGTCATGTGAACAAGTCAGGAGCTAGTCTGACATGAACCATTTGTCAAGACCATAAGCACATCAACAATACTGTGACCCTGCCACTGTGGTATCTGTGCAGTATTGATGGGTATGTTGTGTGTGTGTAAGGCATGCACCCAGTGCACTTTATTAAGAGAGCCCCTCTCTTTACATGCGTGTGTCAATGCGTGGACATCTTCATTGGTGCTAATCACTAAATACATGTGATAATTAAGTGCTCGTATCTAAATAAAACTAAGCACTTTCATCAGAATGTCTTGGGTTTTTGTTTTTGTGTTGGTGAATGGAATGACTCGACTGAAGAAGTCCTGCTGAAACTATTTCACTTGTGCCATTTGTTTAAAATGCTTGTTTGATTTTGCAATACTGTGCTGGAGTTAGGGGACCAGAGTTTTGGCTTCAACAAACCAGGACCTCCAACACTTCAGGGCTGCAGCAGAGTGAAGCGGCTTCGATGAACATCAGCTCCTCCAAATCTGGGGACATGGTGCTTGACAGGATAACAGTGCCTTGTCCTCTGCACCTGGAGATCTGAGTCTTGATGTCTGCAGTGATGCGGTCGTATCAGACTGAGGGAAGTCTTGCTGCTGTCCCCATGACTCGGCCACGGATAAAGCGGAAGAGAATGAAGTGTGTATAGAACAAGCTTGTGTTCCCACCTGCCCACAAATTAAATGTGATAATGCTCTGAATTGGGTGCAGCTCTGACTGTCACCCCCCGACCCAGAAATGGGAATATTACTTTAGAAGTAATATTCATCTACAAACAATGAAAATGATAAATGTATTTGTTTATTATGAACAGCAGGATCTGTAAACCAGAGAATAGCTTGTGTAGCTAATTTCCATCTGTCCCACAGTCACACAAAGACACACATCTATTGGACTCATTTTCAGTGGTAGGGAAAACCAGAGAACTTGAAGGAAACCTAAGCAGACACAGGCAGGACATGCAAACACAGAAAGGCTTTATGGAGGGGGACTCGAACCTATGACCTTAATGCTGTGAACCATAGCCACTAACAACTGCCACCGCGCTACATAAAAACTTAAGTGCAAATCAAAGCGAGGAATATCCTCAACAGTCCTGGGAACTCCAGACACAAGCCACCGTAAAGTCCTGAGATTTAGAACCTAATTTAAAATACCTAAAATAATACTTTAAACTCATGTTTTGACTAGAAGCAGCTCAAAGGAAGATGAGCCGTAGTCCACGTCACGTACCTGAACATGTGAAACCATTTGTCAAAACATTGCTTTAATGAGCCGGTGTCAAGAGTTGAGAAATGAAAAGGCAGACATTGTTTCGGTGACTCCAGAAGAAACTGAAGTCAAATCTAAATGTGAGTTCTCTTCTGTTAGACTGGTCAAGCAATGCTCTGTGTTCTCCTTCAGCGACACATTGAAGATGGCGTCCAAGGCGTCCTCCTGAGTCTGACAGGACTTTGTCACAAGCTCCATCCCAGAGAACAGCGACAGTCTGTCAGAGTGAGACTCCGAGGGCACAGAGCAGCCGTGGCTTTGAACATCTGCTCCATCGGTGTCCTGCTGAGCGACTGTGACGACTGTGAAGTCCACAGACTCAGGACTTGGAGATGTGAGATCAGATGTATGATGGGCGCTTCTTGGATGTTGTTGCATTGGCTGAGATCCACGAGTCAAAGCCTCGAACTGTCGCAGGAGCTGCAGACACAGTTTTATAAATGAAGGTCACATGACTGTTTAGAGGAACAGTTCAAGGGGCAGACGGTCCACATAGAGCTGTACCTTGGTGGCTTTGTTGGCCACAGCTCCAGGGGGCCCCTCACTCAGCAGATAAAGCCTGCTCTGTGTAACTGCAAATATTTGTTCCAGTGAAATGAGGTCCGAGGTCATGAGGCATGCTAAAGCACACATTGTCCGCTACATCAAAAGTAAGATATTGTCATTTACAAAGAGGAGGAACATGGCAGAATCTCATTGATTGAATTACCATTTTAATTGTGCCTGAGGGATCTTGGAGTTTCTTGGAAAGAAGGTCAACCAGCACCTCACAGTTTAAAGTGGACGACCTGAAAAATAAAGAAACAGAAACTTTCAAAATCTACACAGACTTGGAATGCTTTAAAAAAAGGACCCTCACTAACTCTTTGATGAAGTGCTGGCCTTCCTCTCGTGATAAGAAAACCCTGGTGCCCTCAGTGACTGTGCTGATCAGGGCCATCTCCTGGCCACAGTCGCCGATCTGCAGGCCTTCCACCCTGGAGCACCAGGAGGTCACACACGGAACGGTCTCAAATGTTTGGATGTTGTGGACAAACCTCTCAGATAGATCTGCACTGCTCTCTCTGCTCGCTCCTGACTGGCTGCCTGTGCCTGCAGAGCCTCTTCCTGTAGATCCTCTGAAATGAGCTGAAACGTCTTGAGAGGAATTATGAGATGAACAGTTGGTGCTGTCTGTGTCTTCCCAGCCGCCTCCGATCTGCCCAGGGCAGCGCTGGGTCACTGTGAGGGGACAAGTGTGAGAGGTCAAGTGTGAGAGGTCTGTAAAGCCTTCACTCTATGAGATGAGATGTATGTATGTATGAGATTTGAATGACCTTTGGATTTTTGTGCAGCCAGGCTGTAGGAACATGCCGGTACAGCCACTTCTATGGACGCTGATGGAGCCACAACAGCACGATAATGGTTGTCATAGAGACGGATGCCTTGGAGCTCTGTTGGAGGAAGAACAGCACTGGCCACAACTTCTGCAGCTTTCTGAATCTTGTCCAAGAGTGAATCATTCCCTGTTGAGAACAGTGACTCTCACAGTAATGCACACATGTCACCTGTGCATCTGAAAGTGAGCAGACAGCCACTTACCAGAGCCCTGTTTGTCTGGACTGTTCCCAAACCCCTGCATGCCTAATGTGTGGGCAGCGGCTGAGCCCATGCCTTAAAAACAAAAAGGAAGTGTTTTACTCTAGTCCATTTAATTACAATCAAAAGATGAAACACACTTCTCTGATGTTAACAGACCCATTGTTTGATGAACTACCGGCGCTGCAGGGGAACTATTCTTCAGAGCAGTCGTGTCAGTGAATAGAAGTCTTGCCACCTCCTAAAGATCAGACAAGAACTGTTATCCCACAGTGGGAACATGTCAGTGTTGCAGCGCACACTACAGACAGTAAATGTATCTGTATCTTTATATATTGACATTTTAGCTGAAGTTATTAATCTATAAATTGCACGTACAGTATGTACTTGTATACAAGTACTACAGTATGCAATTAACATAATGAGGATCTTGGACACAGTATATACAGTACACGGACAGGACTTTCTCCAGCTTGTACCTGAGCAGTATTGCGTACTCTTTGATACAGAGCAGTGTCGTGGATGGGGTCAGGAGGACCACTGTACACTACATGACAAAAGACTCATATTAAACACAGCAGGTAAACACAGCAGGTAAACACAGCAGGTAAACAGGAGAGTTAAGAGAGACCTGAGGCTTGCTGGATGAAAGTAGAGTTTCTCCTTAATTCTGTGAGAAAATGGTTTGACCCGTGGTCACAAAGATGCACAAAGATCTTCAGCACCTAGAAGAAAGCATGTGTTTATATTGTACTATACTTCTGATGATTTAGACTTTGATATGGCAGACTTGCCTTGAGTTTAACGTGACATGATTTCACCTGCAGCCTCTCCAGAAGATACTCGAGCAAACACTGACCATACCCTAAAGACACATGAGATATTTCTGCTGCGTTTAGGAAGATAAGAGTGTGCAAATAGCTCAACACAACATCTGTAGTCTGTGCTACAGACCTGTCTGTAGTCTGTGCTACAGACCTGTCTGTAGTCTGTGCTCTGCTACAGACCTGTCTGTAGTCTGTGCTACAGACCTGTCTGTAGTCTGTGCTACAGACCTGTCTGTAGTCTGCTACAGACCTGTCTGTAGTCTGTGCTACAGACCTGTCTGTAGTCTGTGCTACAGACCTGTCTGTAGTCTGCTACAGACCTGTCTGTAGTCTGCTACAGACCTGTCTGTAGTCTGTGCTACAGACCTGTCTGTAGTCTGTGCTACAGACCTGTCTGTGGTCTGCTACAGACCTGTCTGTAGTCTGCTACAGACCTGTCTGTAGTCTGTGCTACAGACCTGTCTGTGGTCTGCTACAGACCTGTCTGTGGTCTGCTACAGACCTGTCTGTAGTCTGTGCTACAGACCTGTCTGTAGTCTGTGCTACAGACCTGTCTGTAGTCTGCTACAGACCTGTCTGTAGTCTGCTACAGACCTGTCTGTGGTCTGTGCTACAGACCTGTCTGTAGTCTGCTACAGACCTGTCTGTAGTCTGCTACAGACCTGTCTGTAGTCTGCTACAGACCTGTCTGTAGCACAGACTACAGACCTGTCTGTAGTCTGCTACAGACCTGTCTGTGGTCTGTGCTACAGACCTGTCTGTAGTCTGCTACAGACCTGTCTGTAGCACAGACTACAGACCTGTCTGTAGTCTGCTACAGACCTGTCTGTAGTCTGCTACAGACCTGTCTGTAGTCTGTGCTACAGACCTGTCTGTAGTCTGCTACAGACCTGTCTGTAGTCTGCTACAGACCTGTCTGTAGTCTGCTACAGACCTGTCTGTAGTCTGTGCTACAGACCTGTCTGTAGTCTGCTACAGACAGGTCTGTAGCAGACTACAGACAGGTCTGTAGTCTGTGCTACAGACCTGTCTGTAGTCTGCTACAGACCTGTCTGTGGTCTGCTACAGACCTGTCTGTAGCAGACACAGACCTGTCTGTAGTCTGCTACAGACCTGTCTGTAGTCTGCTACAGACCTGTCTGTAGTCTGCTACAGACCTGTCTGTAGTCTGTGCTACAGACCTGTCTGTAGTCTGTGCTACAGACCTGTCTGTGGTCTGCTACAGACAGGTCTGTAGCAGACTACAGACAGGTCTGTAGTCTGCTACAGACCTGTCTGTGGTCTGCTACAGACCTGTCTGTAGTCTGTGCTACAGACCTGTCTGTAGTCTGTGCTACAGACCTGTCTGTAGTCTGCTACAGACCTGTCTGTAGTCTGCTACAGACCTGTCTGTGGTCTGTGCTACAGACCTGTCTGTAGTCTGCTACAGACCTGTCTGTAGTCTGCTACAGACCTGTCTGTAGTCTGCTACAGACCTGTCTGTAGCACAGACTACAGACCTGTCTGTAGTCTGCTACAGACCTGTCTGTGGTCTGTGCTACAGACCTGTCTGTAGTCTGCTACAGACCTGTCTGTAGCACAGACTACAGACCTGTCTGTAGTCTGCTACAGACCTGTCTGTAGTCTGCTACAGACCTGTCTGTAGTCTGTGCTACAGACCTGTCTGTAGTCTGCTACAGACCTGTCTGTAGTCTGCTACAGACCTGTCTGTAGTCTGCTACAGACCTGTCTGTAGTCTGTGCTACAGACCTGTCTGTAGTCTGCTACAGACAGGTCTGTAGCAGACTACAGACAGTCTGTGGTCTGCTACAGACCTGTCTGTAGCAGACCACAGACAGGTCTGTAGTCTGTGCTACAGACCTGTCTGTAGTCTGCTACAGACCTGTCTGTGGTCTGTACAGACCTGTCTGTAGCAGACCACAGACCTGTCTGTAGTCTGCTACAGACCTGTCTGTAGCAGACCACAGACCTGTCTGTGGTCTGCTACAGACCACTGGAAGTCAAAGGATACTGCCAATTTCTTGAAAGAGGTATCCAGGACAAGGGCTGTCATCATCTGCTGTGGCTTTCATTAGCATGGGCACCTGAGACAGAAGAAACACATGTGTTGTTATGGATTGTAGTTCTGAGGGCAGCTAGCTGCTGGGCTAATTAAAGACATGCGCAGAAGTGACACCCGAACCGCTCGGTCTTTTGGAACATGAGGACAGAGTTACGGAGGACTCATTACAAGATCAGGAAGCAGACTTACATTTTGGAGAAAGGATAGTCGTTCCATAAATGTTGCCATGATTTAGCAGTGTAGACATCTTCTTCCGGGAGAAGAAAGCAGGGCGGGGCCAAGCCTGACAGCCAGCCAATCACAGCACGGCACTCGCGGAAAGGGTCAACAACATGGCGCTGCCCTGGGACTATGGATCTTTTATCAAATCGTCAGACAATTCACTTTATTGATGGTGTACAGCCATGGTTAACATGGGATATGTTGAATCTGCTTTATAGTTTGTGCTCGTCTTACTAAAGCGTCAGAATGTCTGGATCATCAAATGTATGGATTCGCACTCGAGAAAAATTGCGTCTTTTCCCTGAACTTTTCGCTGAGTGTTCGCTGGAGGTGAGTCCTGGCACCGCGGTAAAGTGGCCCGCATCTTTCAGCTCTATGAACATGCGGCCCGCATCGGGGAAAAGACGGTGCGCGTTTTGTTGAGAACTTACGGTAACAGCGGAACGTCCTTTCGGAGTCACCCATTTTTATCGAACAGAAAGCGCGCTGGGGTCTGGGAGACACGTTTTTGTGATTAAAACCTTATAGAGATGCCACCCGGCACACATAGCACCAGCCCCCTACGATTCCTCCGGCAGATTGTGAGTCCTCAGGAGGATAGCCACTCTATTGTTTACATATATAAAGTACACAATTTGGTCCGCTAGTGCAATTTTCAAGTATTGTAACTATTTACTGGAATAAGGTGTGCGACTAATTTCACTTGACTCATGACCTTATTATTGCCCTCTGCCACTGTACCAAAGACCAGAAACTTTTACTGTAGAAATATTGAGAAATATGGAGTTATAAGTAGCCATTTTGGATCAAAATGACTACTTTAAATCAATATTTCTCAATTAATAATTAATAAATAAATAATAAATAATTTCCAAAGTAAAGGTTTGTGGTTGGAGGCACAGCGGTGAAGGCAGTGGTGAGGTCATACACCCAGTGGAATAAGATACTCAAGTCTTTACTGTAAAAATGGACAGCAGCTGAAAATTTCCCTTTTTGACCAAATTAAATGTCGAACATTTTAAGTTTTTACATGCTTTTCCAAATAAGGGTTTATTCACAAAACGAGTCTCCTAAGCGCGCTTTCTGTTCGAGGAGAAAAGCTGACTGCGAAAGGCTGTTCTGCTATTACCGTAAGCAGTCAACAAAACGCGCACTGCTTTTCTCTCGATGCGGGCCGTTTTACTTCGGAGGTGAAAGATGCGGCCCACTTTACCGCGGTGTCCTGGCCCATGTGTGATTTTATACATCTATAGTAACATTAGGTTAAAATGGTCTTTCATGCTCCGCAGGCTGCAGCTTATGGCAAGTGTGTAGCAGCCACTACTACGAACAAACAAGAACTAAAGAAGGACCTGTGTGCCAAGGAGTTTGAGGCTCTGAAGACTTGTTTTACTAATGCGGTGAGAAACACATTTTTATCATTGACTCCTTCAGTTTGACTGATGACTTCCTTTTCCACACAGGCCAAGAAGAGAAGCAAATAAATGGAATTGTTACTATGACAAGATGTCATTGTACATTATCGTAATGTTTTATGCAAATGTGAACAAAGTGAACATAATAAATATAAATCCGATTTTTTTATTATTTCTTAAAGGAAGCCTTCCACGATACAAAAATAGTAGGAAAATAGCATTTTGTACAAAGCAAAGGTACAGCGCACCATTCATACTTTTGTATATGGTTTGTATATTACCAGTATTTGGTCAATAAACACCTGTGCTCTCACATCTAGAAGGCACTGATCATGGAATAAACCAGAACTCCCTGGTCCCTAACGGTTCGATCGCTCCAGCTTAGCAGCACATACAGTATGTAACTATAGCGCAAAACACATTTCTTAATTATACTTAAGTGTAATGTTCACTGGAACCGATTAAACATCATAAATGGCAGCTGCAACACTTACATAAACTGTACATATTTACGTCACACATAGAATTGACCCGACATAAACTTAAGGAAAAAAAGCAAGTTTCTGATTGCACAAGTGAGAAAAGTGACTCAGTCATACTCTCCTGGTTCCACAAACACAGAACGGCTTTAAAAATATACATTCCAACAGTAACATATGGAACAGCCCCTTAGATTTGACAAAATAAGTTACTATTTACACTTCAATCGTTAATAAAGAGCCGTAATATTGGACCATTGAGCGATGGAATTATTTTTCTGTAATTTGACTGAGACAAAACGTGTCCGCTCCAATGTCTGCACACGCAATGGCCTTAGTCCACGTCTTCAGCGGTTTGTTGAATCTGTCGCGTGTGCACCACTGCTCCGGCCAGCAGCTGCTGCTCCAAGGCCACATGCAGGTCCGAGCCTCCGAGTGCCAGCAGAGGCTCCAGACCTCTGGGAATGTCCTCCTCTTGAGTCTGCTCCAAAGCCCGGCGCCTCCTCCTCAGATCCATCTCTCCCTGGTCCCTGGCCCTCTCATGAGAGTCCTGAGGGTCCACCTGTTTCTCCTTGAGGTCCCGCCCTCCATTCTTCAAGGCCTCCCCGTCTGCGCCGTCCATGGCTGGGACATTTTTTTGGATTTCTGCTTCCACCAGTTTGTCAGGCTGCTCCTCTGCTTGATGGACTTCTCTTTGGAGGGCCTCTTCAGATGCCTGCTTCTGCTTCTGCATCTCCAGTTCCAGTTCTTTGGCGACTTTCTCTTTGCGCTCCCTCTCCAGGCGTTCTTTCTGGACTCTGAGTGCAACTTCTTTTCCAATCCTCTCGTGCTCGGCTCTCTGCTCCTCCTCCTGACGCTGCTTCTCCAACCTGGCCTGCGCGGCTATCTCTAGTTCTTTGGCTATCTGCTCCTTCCTCTCACGTTCCAGTCGTTCCTGTTCTACTCTGGCCTCCACCTCCTTCTGTATTTTCTCCTGCTCCTTCTTGGCCATCTCTTCCTGAGCCCTGAGTCTTTCCTTTACCTCCAACTTGACCTGAACTTCTTTTTCCATCAGGTCTCTTTGCTCTTGTATCTGGGCTTGCTGTTCGTTTTGCAGAATGGGTTGAGCATCTTCCATGTTCTGCTTTCCCAGTGGAACACCACGAGCCCCGCGCTCGTCCTCTGCAGTTTTCACGTCCTCTTTGTAAGCGTCAGGGGCGGCTGCTTTGGCCCCCACCTCCACACTGCTGCCTCCGGGTGGGGCCTGGTTCTGGGGGACTACAGGAGGGTCACCTGCCTCCACCTCTGCCACTGCAGGCGGCTTCACGTCAGAGGCAGCTCCAGGTTCTTTGGCTTTCACGGCTCCTCCTTCCAGTTCCTGAACACTTTTTTCAGCATCACTTTCAAGAGCTAAAAGAAAAGTAATAGAAGAAGTAGATGTTTTTAAAAAGGTTTTCTTGTTTATAAAGTGTGAAATGACAACATACAAAAACACCTACAGCTTTCTCTAATATTTACACACCCAAAGTTGTTTTTTTCTTGATTCAAGCACGTTTGGGGACTGAAACACGGAGGGATATATATTTTAGACCAATATTGAGATTTCAAATGTAGTAACTAGATATTAATCTTGAAGAAAATTAAGATTAGACAATAAATATTCATCTAAAACACAATCACTTACAGTCAGAGGCGCAGACTGCGGAGGATTATGGCTCATTACTGGTGTTTGGTCGAGTGTCATGACTCAACATAAAACCAAGAAAATACTGTATATTTTCACAAATGATTGTTTTGTAAGTATTGAATTATACTGCAAAGCTACAATTAAAAACATAACTCAACATCTGGAATCAAGGAAATAGTGTTTTTATTTTTATTTACTCATAAATCTATCTAAATAGTTGTTCACTCTGAAAACAGTTCTGTCACTAGCATGTGTTTTGGCCCCACTCCCCGACTGCTGCCTCTGTGTAGGTTCTGGTCGACCACAGAATCACCCTGGTTCTGATCCGTCACACAATTTGAATCCGCTTTTTCAGACATAAACGTGAGAGGACCTCACTCAGCCCAAAACTGGTGACTCACAGGGCTATATTAGAACAGACTACAGGTACTATTAAGTTAGGTACCCCAGCTACAAATAACTCATGAAGTTTTACTTTTCATTTTAAGTGTGTGTGTGTGTGTGTACCCACCTGCAGGTTGTGTGTGTGTGTGTGTGTGTACCCACCTGCAGGTTGTGTGTGTGTGTGTGTACCCACCTGCAGGTTGTTTCTGGTGGATTTCCTTGTGCTGTTCTTCAATGACAGCCAGCAGCTTCTCCTGCTGATCCAGGAGCCTCTTCTGCTGCACCTGCTGCTCCTTGATGACCTGCAGGAGCACGGCGTGGTCCAGTTGTCCCTCTGTGGGAGAGGATCACTCTTTATTGATGCACACTTCACTCTTCGATGCGATTAGTCGACAGGAATAACCCATTAAACATCTTTGATGGTTGATTTAATTGCAGTTTTCATATTAGTATGAGCCTACTCAAGTTAAATTATTGGAATTCAATTAAAAGAACAAGAAACGAAAGAGGCAGGAAAGAGTTCATACCTGCAACCAGCTTTTTTATCACTGTCATGGAAGTCCAGCAGAGTAAGAATAAAAAGTTGGACAGCAAACAAGAGCAAAAGCAAACAACAGTAGTCAACAGTGAACAAAGACTGCAAAGCATCAAAGCAAGAAATAAGTCTATTTTTCTAAACTAACGTCAATAAAAGAATTCTGTATTTGTAATCATTGTGCTTCTATATTGTACTTTTAATAATCTTACCATCCATTTTCTCATCACCTTTACCGTCAGCTCCCTCTGCAGGCGAGTCTCCGTCAGGGCCTTGTGCTGCACATAAATCACAAAACATTTATAGGAAGAATTATTCTTTCAATTTTGTTCAGAGCAAAATGAATTCTTACGTTTCTCTCCAGGTTCAGCTTTATCGACTTGTGGCACAAGGACCTGGTTTGATACTTCTGCTTTCTCCGAACCAATGTCTTTCACAGAGTCTAGTTTTACGTCGTCTTTCGACTGGGGGACATCTTGTTTTAGAAGTCCATCCGACTTTTCCACAATCTCGTTAGAAACTTTCTCTCCTCCTAAATCCTCTTTTTTAACATTGACCGGTGCAGGTTTCTGCTCCTCCTTCTGTTCTTTGTCCTGGACTTCCACTGCAGGTTTCTGCTCCTCCTTCTGTTCTTTGTCCTGGACTTCCACTGCAGGCTTCTGTTCCTCCTGAGACTGGCCTTCAGGGAGCTCCTCTTTGTTCCTCCTGATGTCCACTTGGACCTCGTCATGAGGAATGGGAGGTTCATGACGATGAGCTTCTGCCTCTGGCACAACAACACCCCCCACTGCACACAGCACAGGTACAGCACAGGTACAGCACAGGTACAACAATGACATTGTCAAAATTCACATTATTTGTGTATCCTGACGGGGAAGTCTTAGTGTCAAGTGGATAAATCTACAGAAATATTATACCAACACCTTATACCACATCAACAGATACGACAGTTAAACATAAAATTATGAAAATATTGTTACAACAACATTTAAGGTTTTGACAAATACATAAACAGCACATGAAATCCGCTCCTTCAGACCTTCCACTGGTCGTTCTCAGAACAAGACCCACTTCTGTTACATTATCCACCTGCAGGTTTGTTGGTGTTCATGACAGACTTTCCGTACCTGCTTCTGGACGGTCTAGCTGCACCTCTTGCTTCTTATTGGCCTCCGGTAGATCCACTGGTCCTTTTATCTGTGGAGGGTCTGGCTGGTCCCGCTCCGCGACAGCAGCCTCCTCAGGTTTGTCCATTTCCACGGCTTTCTTCTTTGGGACATCCTCTGCTCACCAGACCATCCATAAAGCTCATGTCATTGCACATATTTATAATGATGCATTTCTTTTGGTTTTTATGTCGAAACATTTGTGTCAATACAAAGGGAGAGCTGTTTGTGGCACTAATACAATCACCCACTAGATGGCAGCAAACATTACAATTGGAAGAGCATTGACATGAGAAACACGACCTGGCCAAATAAAGTATAGAAAGGGAATAATGTTGACATGTCAGAGAGTTGCTGCAACACTCTTATTATTAAAAGTCTGCCTTGCATCTGTCTCTGGACTCCTTTCTCGCCTGAATCACTTTGTTTTCTACAGCCAGGGAGCTTCAAGGCATTTTATAGCTGCCACCAGAGATATAGGAGGAGATGGAGGTGCAATGTATTTTAGGAGGAGGGGGGGGGTTGCCACGGTGAACGGGGGAGTGGGGGGAGCTGAGAAATTGCCCGAGTTTGAAGGGCATCACTCTCGCTCCATCAACGTCAGCTTCTCACTGCTGCTCTCAGATATTATCAAGAGGTTATCTCTCCAAGCTGCCTGTCTGTCTATCTGTGGCTCCGTCAGTCTCCGTCTCTGCTTCTCCATGAAAGAATGGCCTTTTCTCCCAGACTTTTGTTTCAGGCGGTCTCGCGCTTTGGCCTCATTTTCGTGGCTTGTAATGTTTTTGCATCAGGGTTTGCTGCAGTTTGACATTTTTGTTCTAAAAGAAAGTCCACGCAGATCGACCCATCATACATTTTGATTTTTGAGGAAGATTTTGGCATTGAAAACCCAGCCACAAGTTCTAAACTGTGCCAGTCAGTCAAACTGAAAGTCAAATCAATATATATTGTGTTGATTCAAGAAAAGGAGCAGAGCACGTGTGAGGGCAGCAGGGCGACCAGTGTCCACAAGAGTCCTACAATAGATCATCACTTTCCTTCTGAGGAAAGTGCCTTTTACCTTTTTAATCTTACAACTTGATCGCACCTTGAGCCAAAGCAATTTCCTTCCTGCTGCTAAAAATAATTGTGATTCTGAATCAGCAATTACGATAACAAAACATGGATAAAGACTAAACATGCAGTTTTCTAATCCTTCGATAGATTTTTACTTTCTAACATTTTAATAGTATGCCAACGATCAGACCTTCAGCCACAGCTGCTCTTCACAGCCTCTAATGTGGTCCATGTTCCTTTTCCATGTGCATCATAAGTGAATCTTTTGTAACTTCCTCCCTCTCTATTCTATGTATGTGACAGTCCGTGTCAGGGGATAATAAAGGTCTATCTCTGTAATCCAAGTATTCAGAATACAGTCGCCTGATTGGTCCATGGGACAGAATATTCCAAAATAAATGTTAAAGCAGGTATTCACTACTCTGTACTTATTATATTATCAAAGTATTCTGCCCAAGTCCATTTCTCAGACTTAGTAAGTATAATAACAAATGCTTTAGCATGTGTTATTAATTAAATTAAGACTATAATCAGCACATTAGTGTTTCGGCCATGTCCACAGTACTGGCTCATATTCACGTAGATGCCTCCCCCTTACCGTGGAGGTCCGGGAGGTCTGGGAGGTGAGGGAGGTCAGGAAGCACTGGGGGCACTGGGTTGTTCCGTCCTGGGGCAGGAGGAGGGGGTGGCTGGACTCTGGTGACAGGGCTTCTGCTGGAGGAGATGGACAGTGTGGTGAAGGTACTGATGAGCAGGATACACAGGCCCACCAGAAGCACCAGCTGGACACACACATTTAGTTAGAACACACATAACCACAGCTGCGTCACATGGTGCATTAGGACAGCTTTTACCTGAGCAACAATCCCATTCTTTTGAATTTTTCTGTAAATGAGAGCAGGACAAATGAAGCAGATGAGGCTACCCATCGTGGCTCCGGTCAAGCCCAAAATCGTTTCCACTGAACACAAAAAGAAAAGAATATGATGTGACACAGCTAGAAGCAGTATTCCGATCGCTTTCACACACAAATACATCAACATCATCAGAACAATTTGGGCCTGAATGAATAATAAAGCTTTTCTTTCTGGTAACAGTCGCAGTTGTTCTGAATGTACAAGTTTAAGTGTAATATTGATACAACAGGCGCAGGGCACATAAAGCCAGCAGTGCAGTGTATTTAGCCGTCTGTGTGCCTTATCGCCGCCTCCATTCATACCTGTCTGTGCCATTCATACAGGGCTCTGGGCTCCGGGCCATGGCACGCTGCTCCCAGCTGGCAGCAGAGCACCATGGCTCCACCTCTGCCTCCGGGAGCGGCCGGTCCTGAAACCCATCGCTTATGCAGGGGACGGACAACATATTGTCTGCCTCAGATTTAGTGTCCGCACTCTCAGGGGTCCTTTCCTCTGTCTATTAGTCTGATTAGAAACACTAAGAGACAGCCAAACCGATCAACGTATGCATGTGTCCAGCCAATAAAAGCTTTAACTGGTGGCTGCTGTATAATACAATGAATAAAACATAAAATGATGGTAACCTTTACATCTCCGATGTATGGAGGTAGTTTGTAAGAGCGACAGAGAGAAGAAGCTGACATAGTGCCGATATTGGTATGTGCATAGATTTGTGCACCAGTGAGAAAGAGCCAGCAGAATAATAGCCCTATCTTCCCGTCTGCCCATCGAAAAGGAAATAAAAGTTAGGGCCCTGATTTAAGGACTGTGTTAGAGTGTGACAGTCACTGACTCGTAAAGTCACATTCACACACATCGTAAAGCTGCAGAGCTTCTGCGCCCTCATAAAGGAACAGGCCTCAGTCTGAAACAGCTGCAGCCCACTTCCACCACAACCACCACTTTGCATACGTGCTTAATGTTTACTTTGATTGTATATGGTTATGTTTTACAGGAAACATTGGGTGTTTTTTCCAAAGACAGACCCACACACTCAGAGTCGTACCGTTGGGGATGAGGATGCCTCCCAGCATGGTCCCAAACACTATGCACAGGGTGATCATTTTGAAGCGCAGTGGAGGCATGTATCCCCCCGCAGCGAAGGTTCCATCTTTCTGCTGCAGCAAAAACACAAAGAAAAGCTTCAGCTTCCCCAGAAAATGACTTGATTTGAGGTAGAAAAAGAAAAAAGTGCTGTATATGATTTATAGGCACATATATATGGTTTTGAACCAAAGTACTTTCTAAATACAAAATATATCAGAGACAGGAATTCAACATTAAAACAATGGTGTCTTTGCCATTTATAGTGTCGTATAGTCTTTAGTATTTAGAGAATAGTCTTTAGTATTTGTACAGCGTGAACTTCTGCACATTCTCATGTCACACAAACATTCTCATGTCACACAAACATTCTCATGTCACACAAACATTCTCATGTCACACAAACATTCTCATGTCACACAAACAAACATTGAATTTTTGATAATTTACTGGAAGATAACAACAAGCAAAAAGTCTTGGAGTCAAAGAAAATGATACATGATTGTGTTGATTAAAACAAAAATCCAAAACCAAAAAGTCTGGTTTGCACAAACTACTGTCTGTGGAGCTGTGAAGACATCTGAGATCAGAGTCGTCTTTTCAGAGCTGTGAGTTTGGGCAGACAGCAGAGTCTTGGTAGATTTGCAGTTGCATTCACTTTCCTTTTCTGAATAATGGACTGAACCGTGCTCTGGGAGAGGTTAAAGCTCTGGAAATGTTTGTAAAACTTAAAGCTATTTCCATCTCCCTTGCCACTGCCCAAACTAGCGTGCTCCTTTGCCTTCATGATGCTGTTTAGTGACCGCTAAAGGCCTCACAGCTGTGTTTAATCGTTAGGCCACGAGGAACATTCAGCATCGTTAAAAATGTTTTAAAACATATTACAAGAATAAAATCATGTATCTTGTTGCTTTCACAAACTGTTAGCAGTGTGTGAACTGTAAAACATTCAGAATAGATCATGTTTATGGTTGTAAACATGACAAAGACATGAAGTGTCCTGCAGCGATGGCGTATAACAACATTATTATATTCTCGTCTGTAAAAATGGCACTAATCCAAAATGGTTGGAGGTAATGTCCCAACCTGTAAAGTGCTATGTGTGCATCTTTAGAACCTAAACTGTTTTTGAACAGAATCATTTCAGAATTTGAACATGTTTTTTATTAATCGGGTAAGTAAGTGGAGGAAAGTGAGTTTTGCAGATCAGGTGTAAGGGAGAGGTGTAGGGTCGGAGAGTGTGTGGGCCTGTATCGAGTGAGTGAGAGGTGTCAGCGGCTGCTTCCAAAACCCTTTTCAAAATGTGTTCCTGTTTATTTTGTTTCTGGTTCATTGTTGTCTTTTACATTGTCTGTGCATATGTGTTTGAAATAAATAATAATTATTAATATTATTACTTCTTAATCTAATGTCAGAATTATGCTTTAGATTTTCTATTCTGAGACGTTTCCAAGCTGACCTGCTGCTCAAACAACATGGTATTGATGGCTTGGCGACAGGGCAGGATCATCATGGGGAAGCCCACAGCCACAGACATCATGAAGCCCACTCGGATCATCTCCGTCACCAGGTTCGAAGGGAAATTCATGAGGACATTTCCTGCGATGGAGTCTGTGAAGCTGACGTACCCAAAGAACCCCACCTGAAAGACGAGACGACAGCTCTGAGAACGGGGGACAGTAAAGGTGGGTCGTCGTTCCGCATGTTTGCACTCACAGTGATGTAGAAAATGGTGACCACTTTGAGGGACGAGGTGAAGATGGTGCTCATGCGTTTGACCGAGGGCTCGTCCAGACTGTCGTACGTGGGCAGCACTTGCCTGAAACACACAAAAGCACATCTCTCTGCAGCAGATCTCAGTGGGGCCGCTGCCTTTATCCCACAGAGGTTTGTAAGCAGCAGCCGCCAGGATACAGTATGACAGCTTACACAGGCTAACTTCAAATTTAGCTGTAATCACGCTTTTACAGATTTTTTTTAATGAGCCATATGGGCCCCATTTGTGCCACTCAATAATCAAATGATGCATCACTCTCCGTATGTCCTTGTCAGCTTCCAACTCAGAATAGCGATCTCATTGTGTTTTTTAGTCTATTAAAGTTTTCCCGAACAGAAGGCGGTCATTAGTTGCTTATCAACTTGTACTTTTTCCATGTCTCTCATTTGACTGAGTTTTAAGTCAAGCAAACACGCCACCAACAGCTATGAATATTCAATATTTATAACTTCTTAATAGTTTTCGGATATAAACTTTATCGATAGGAGTAAATTACAGTTCATTTGGACGAGTGCTAAATACTGAGAGACGATGTAATGGTTTTGCCCTTCTGTTCCACACTTTATAAATAAGTAGACACAAGAATGCAACAGTGTGAACAATAACATTGGCATTAGAGCAGTCATGGGCTGTGGTTTTCCATCGGGATTAATCTGCAATAATATTTTTAATACATTTGAGTAAAATTGTGCAGCAAAGCAAAGCCACAAAAACATTTCTGGTCGCAGACTTTAGATTCTAGGGGATGCATAGTTTAAGGTTGGACGTGATGAGATAAAAGCATGGGTCGCTCTCTTGATTGTATAGTTAAAATAGAGCTTTGCCAAAAGTCAAAATATAAAAAAAATCCTAATCTCTTTTTGTAGATCACGATTTCATTCATTTTGATGAAAAGCCCGACGCAGGAGCAGAGGCAGTTCCTTCTCTCTCGTGTCCTCGCCGTTTACTGCGACTGGCTTCAATATTATGCAGTTAATTGTGTCATACCACTTCTTTAGTTTTGTTTATAATTCAAATATTTGAGAAAAAAGACCCAGAATTGGTGAATATGGGAGCAAAACCAACTGCACTGCAAAAAGTGATGAAAAATAGGAAAAACATTGCTCGAATTTGGCAAAATGTATCTTAACATGAGCACATTTTGACTGCCTTAAAACAAGAGCTGACAAGGCAAAGTTATCTTGTTTTAAAAAAAGATACCAAAATGTCTCCCTTGGATTGAGAAAATAAAACTTGAAATAAGACTAAATTGTATGTCCCATTGGCTAAACTTGTTTGAAGACAGTCTCAATGTGCTCAAATTAAGCTAAAAAAAACACTCGATTCCAACCCTTCTTACGTCATATCTTATCTATGTTTTCAGTGTGCGATTCATTTGTCGTCCCAGATCTGCCTAAATCCAAACAGATGTTGTTGTAGCTTCGCCTGCGCACTTCCACACACCACTATTTACTTTTACTGGAGAGAGCAAAGCAGAGCGTGAGGCCTGTGTGTGGATGACAGAGGACGGACAACAGCCTGTCTCCCTCTGTCCCAGTGAAGCGCGTGGAGGTGACCGTCAACACGCCGCCTAATAAATCCCCCGCCTTCCTTTCTCAGCGCGAAGGCCTGGATGGTTTTAGAGCAGTATAAACTTTCTTGGCCGACCGTCGCCTCTAATTCCCACACGCAAAAAGGAGAGCGCCAGAAACCATAACTTTCTCTCCTCGTCTCTTTGCGCGTCTTCCTTTCACACATGCTGGGTTTATGAGCGAGCCGTGTCTCGGGGTGCCATTCCTCATCGCTCGTTTCATTTGCGATCCAGTAAATCTTTGTGGCCAAGGTTAAATAAAATGCCTTTTTGCAAATACGCCACCGTTAAACGTAATGGTCACTCAATGGTTGTGGCATAAAGAAAGCTCAAACGCGTTCATTTCCTACTGTACGGTGTTGATGAGCGGCAGCAGACAGAAATCATGGACTTGAAGTAGAAAGCCTGCTGACAATAGAATCACCCAGGGACGTTTCTACAACACATGTTTTTCTTATGTACCCCCATTATGAGCTAACAGCGGCGCGCGAGGAGCCAAAACAGCGCGCGGCCAGGTCCCATCCCGTCATAATGGTGATGCTAAGTGATGTTTTAAGTGAAAGTAAACACGTTTTCATGAATGTAATAAAAGTCCAATGTGCGGAGAGCTGTTTAATCATCCCGTGAATACATCAGTGTGTCTCTCCACGATGGCTCCGGTCCAATGTGTTGATTAGTGGTTTGGCTTAAACTCACTGCCGCCTCAAACACAGCGCTCGCCTCGCTCTGGCCAAAAAACCGCCCGGCCAAATATCACTCAGCGCTGCTCGTGGAAACTAAAACACGCGGATAAACACGGGGGAAACTTTCATCCTCTTTGAACGCCCTCCTTTCGCTTGGTAACCGGACACGCCCTCCGTAGAATAATGCGGTGTGATTAGTCCCTCTTCACCTGTGCCCCGTCCTGACCTCCTCCCTATATCCTTCCCCTCGCCGCGCGCTCAAATCAAAAAGATAAGACTTTCATACTCCCCGATCCCATTAGACCTTGACACATTACCCTTTACCATCCAGGAGCAAGCACTAAGAGGCGGCGGGCACATGACAAAAGAGCATGCAGATGGGTGAGAATGGAGACGAGAGTGACAAAGGGGGGGTTTGGGGGGAGAGGGGTCTGATGAAGCCGCGAGAGGTGAAAATATGGCAGTGGCTTCTCTGGAGTCGGCGTGAGGAAAGTTAATGGGATGCTAAAATAGGCGTGAAACTTTTTTTTTCCAACTATCTGACCAAAAGATGTCTGGCACAGAGTTGAGAACTGTATTTTTGATGGACAGATTTGATAAAAGGCCTCCATGGGAAAAAAAATAAAAAAATAAGTAAAATCGAAGTGAACTTTTAAGAAAAATGACTGTGCGGTTCTTTTTAACAGTGGACACAACACAAGCTTTAACCAAACTAGGAACATGGATGAATTAAATATTGGCTAAGTTTAAACAGGACAATACGTTGTTTTCATGTGAGATCACCCTGATTCCAAAGAGCCTCTAGTTTCACATTGTGGTGGAGGGCGGACGGAAATTTTGTCAAAAGTCCGATTTCTAGTCCTAATTTTGAGCCAATTTAATTCCTGGAACAATGCACATTAAATAAAAAGTGTCACTAGTGTCCACATCTTTCACTTATCAACTACATCAGTCTCATTCATTTCTCATAAGCGTCTAGAAGTGGTGACAATATTCAAAATTGTACGCATGATGTTGGCCAGTAGGAAGGACTTTCAGACAATCTTGGAAAATAAAAAAGGACATTTACTTTTTCAACATTTCTCTCAAAAATGGCTTCTTCTCTATAGACTTATAATGGCACCTGGGCTCCATCTGAAATCTAAAACTCTACAACATGAACGCAACTTGTATGTTCCAATAGGGATTCATCAGTGAGAGGTTGTAATGTAAAAAAAAAAAAAAAAACATGGTTAAATGAATGAGATACTTGTGGAAAGCAGTTAGGGAAATTACAAGCCTCCACCCTGAACATGCAAAACTGTATTTAAAACATGCCGGACTCGACTGATCTCGTGGGAGTTGGGGAACACAAGCCGAGCCACTGCATAAATCTAGGCTTACTGTCAATAGAATCAATGTGCCTTTGTGGAGCCGGCTCGGACATTAGTTTTACGGGAGGGCCCGGTGCGGTCGGAGGGGTGGGCGGGGGGCGTAGTACTTACGACTGACAGGCGAAGGCCATCCCACAGATGGGCATACAGCGAAACACACCCTCCCAGCGCACCACATAGACCCGCCCCAGCCACCAGCCGCTGAGCAACTCATGTCTGAATGAGGACAGCACCATCTGAAGGAAAGGAGGGCGCCGTGTTACAGCCCGCACAAAAAGTAAGACACAGGGATGACGGGAGGAGGACCCGAGACGATGACCAGAGATTGAGAAGCAGGAGGAGGAGGAGGGAAGGAAGCAAACATAAGACAATGGAAAACCTTAAAAACCGGGTTGAAAGTGCTCTCCAGTTCCACCGTTTTAGTTTCAAGAGGTTTGGTCGCTGTGTGAAATGTGAATAAACAAAGAGAAACACAAAGAAACGCCCATTTGTTTGTTTTCCATTCAACATTCACAGCTAATCCAACTGTTATAGTACAGTTTAAAACCCTTAAAGGCGCCAGAGTTTTAATCAGAATTTTGCTTTACTTATTTAATTTTTGAGCTCATAAACAGCAATACATATTAGTGCTGTAAACGTTATTTAAAATGGACAAAATATAGAGCCCTGAAACATCACCACTAAAATCAATAGCAGGAATAAATCCGTCAGAAGAAATGTAAGTACGTTTTTGTGGGAAGCCAGGCCGCTGTATAGAAAGTGTCCAAAGTCAGATATGAAATCAATACTAAAACTAGTGTCCAAACAGGATTGTAATCGTTACCAATAGAGACAAGGTAAAATGTTATAAATAAGAAAAGTGTGTATAAACTTTGTGGTCCTATTCTGGTTAGTTAAAGATGTAAATTGTCCAAAAGATTATTGTTATAAGCATTGCTGTGGTAATGAAATTGAGTATTTTCCTAGTATCAAAGAGAAGTTTAGACGTGTTGCGCTGACACTAATTTGGCGCCTAAAGGGCAAATGCAAACGTGGCTTGTTTAACTTTTCCTGATTGACTTTCACACAGCCTTTAAACCTCTTGAACAGTCCTTTTCTGTCGTTATCGTTTTCCGTCTCTCCATCTTGGACCTCGAAACGCTCCAATGCTATAAAACCAACACCAAAGCTGTGCTGCAACTGCCACCACACACACAGACCAAAAGCCCAAAAGTACATCGAAAAACAAAAAACAACTTTTGGGGCCATCTTTGAGCTCCAGGTTCGATTCCCTCTCTGTTTAGTTTTTTTACTTACGGGTGACAGCAGAAGGTGGTGGCGATTATGGGCAGGCACTGAATGACGCCCCTGACCCTCCACAGGTGCGCTCGCTCCACCCACGAGCCCGACACTAAGCCGTAGCGCAGAGAGGACAAGACTATCTACAAGGCCGGCAGGTGAGATGGAGGACAGGAGTGAGCGGTGAATGACAGGAAGGAGGAGAGAAGGAGAAGTGGGGAGGGGGAAGGAGAACATGTCACTGTTAGGGGCTGAAACAGGTGTGGAGCTGATCTGACACCACACAACACACACAAACACAGGGTCACGGCACACAACACACACACACACACACACACACACACACACACACACACACACACACACACACACACACACACACACACACACACACACACACACACACACACACACACACACACACACACACACACACACACACACACACACACACACACACACCCAACACAGGATCACTGTGAACACAGGGTCAGGCTGAAGGTGCTGAAGGCAGGACAGCCCTCTACATGCTGTGTCTGTTTGAAAGAAATCACTTTAAAACAAGAAACACCTTTTTGTGAGCTCCAAGTTTAAAAACTGATTAAAAACAGACCTTCACTTGTTTTTAAACTCTTCCCAACGACAGAAGCTTTAATCACAAAGACGTAACTCGTGTTTGTCTAAAGGCTCCTGTATCTCACACATGGGACACCCTCCTCCAGAGACCGCCGGACAAGAGGGGGCGTGGTCAGTCTGAGCGGCCTGCCAGGTCCATCAGACTGACCACGCCCACTCAGGCTGTTTGAAAATAAGCTAAAAGAGCAGCTGTCTCTGCTGGCAGAAGTAGGTATTACATGCCAAGGGCGTGTCCTTTTCTTTTTCCTTAAAAGCTGAGGTATCAAACTTTCAAACCCCAAAAAATGTACTATGTAATATTTATCCAATGATTCAAATATACAATATAATTCATCCAACCATAGTATTAACTAAACTATTCCATCTCAAAAGAGTTTCCATCACTAGTTTTCACATCATGTGTTTTTGGCCTCCGTCACAGCTTTAGATCAGCTTTTTCAGACAGAAAAGTGAAAAAGAGAGGATCACTGTGACTCAACCAATCAGCTTCAGCCCAAAAGAGTAAAATGTTGCACCTTTTGTAAAACAAAAGGTAAGTTTTCTAATCGCATGTTGGGGCCTGATTTCTTTCTGTTGTGTAAAATATTTATGAAACAAAGAATGTTAGGTTCCCCACTTTTAAGTGGAAAATATGTTTAAAAGCCTGTAATTCACATTGTAAAACGTGAATGCCAAAGTTAATAATGTCATTGTCATGTTTAAGGACCAAAAATAACGAGTCTTGTTTCTTATTTAAAATTGACACATTATATTTGTTAAGAGAACGAGAACCATTCAGATTTGCACAGTTCAAAACACTAAGACAGTATTTGTGCTCCACTCTGTCCTTACAGTGTGCTAGAGCTTGGACTTGATCCGTCAGAAAGAGCAGGAGGGGAACATGCCAGTCTCTAAAAGGTAGATTTCGGTTCCAAAGCGATACCAAACATAGTTGAATCCAATTCAACTATATTTGACAATTATGTTCCAATTCATATACGCACATTTCCCAAGAAGTCCATCCCACAACGTGGTTCTGGAATGTGCATGAATACATCTGTAACCAGGACGCAGAGCGGCTCACCGTGAACATGAAGAGCGTGTAGAAGACCAGCGCCATGGCGGAGAAGGACTGGATGGAAGACATCATGTTCCTCTGCAGGCTCAGGGGCAGCACGATGAAGAGGGAGACCGCAATCAGCAGCACCACACGGAAGCTGAAAGTCACCTGAGGCACATCACAGTCAGACAGCCGGATATTGGCCCAAGAACATTCAGCACAATTGTAGATGCAAATGTTCAAACCTGTAAACCCAACAGCTGTGCGAAGAAGTTTGAGCCCAAGTCTGCGATGACGACATAGAAGGCAATGCAGGTCCCCAACATCAAACCGATCATACTGAAACAGACGCACATCCACTGTGACAAACACAACCAGATAAACCTCAGATTCACTTCTACCTTGTTTCCACCAAGGCCTTTCCCGCTTTCCCGTAGGCGTGGAACGCTTTAGGAGAAAGCACAGTATTTATCATTATGTGATTTTAAACAATCCATCCATCCATCCATTTTCTGCCCTTTAATCCATTTCTGGGTCAGGGGGGTGGCAGTCAGAGATGCCACCCAAGTCTCATAGCACCAGCCCCTCACTGACCCTCTGCAGGTGGTGAGTCCACAGGAGGAGCTGCTCTCTGAGTGTGAGCATAGCCTTGATCTTTCAGCGGGGGCTTTGGGCAAAGTGGGGTTAAGTGTCTTGCCCAAGGACACAACGACAGCAGTCATCAGTGGGAGTCGGTGGAGAAGGTGCAGAGGTGGGAATTGAACCCACGACCTTCTGGGCTTAAGGCCAATGCTCTACCAACTGAGCTACTGTCGCCCCATTTTTTTTTTAAACCTTTTTAAACAATCATTAATAAAAAGAAATGAATCTCACCTAAACCAGCATAAGTTCTTCTCTTGGTGCTGCTGGCTGTGTGGACCAGGAACATGCAGGACTGGTGCGTCATCCACGAGCAGAAAAACAACAGCAGGGTCCCCAGCACTATACCACACTAATCACACAAATATCACAAACTACATTATTCTCATATTTCTCCCATTTTAAGTTACAGGAAGTCACAAACTAAGACTTTGCTACAGTATATGGTGCAAATAAGTTATAAAGTAAAACATAAATATAAAAAGGCATGCCCTTTGAAACACACAGTACATTATTACATTTATATATATATAAATAAAAACACACACGTTAAATGAAGGATGCAGCAGTGAGAACTGTACAAAACAGATTTTATTTTACTAAATCTGTGTATTCAGAAGAAAACTCATTTTGAGAATAGTTTCTTCCAGAAAGTCCAAATAATACATTGTGGCATTTGATCATGAAATGTAAGAACAATTCCTAAAAGACTGAAAGAGGCCAAACTAAGTCTAAAACTATCACAAAAGGTGCAGACACAAACTAAATACAAACTATTGGCTCCCAAATCCCTAAACCAGACCATAGACAAACCCAAGAGCATAAACACAGAACTAAACATGAAGACTAAACACAGAGCACTGGTGTCAAAGACATGAAGAATAAAACTGTAATGATTAATCGAGACGACACAGTGTGAAAAACAACTATTTTAGTCATCGATTAATCATTAACAGCTCTTTATACAAACTTCAACAAATGCATTTAAGGGATGTTATTTTAAAGACACAAACATAAAGGTAAAATTATATTATAAATATGATCAATTGTGTGTATGTCTCATTTTTAATGATGAAATCAGTTCTTGGAAAAGTCGATCAGAGTCCTCTGGTGACTTCAGCTTGATCTGGGTCAAACTGATTATCTCTGTGTAATAATAACAGCACTGTCACCTCATCCTGACAGAGCACAACGCTCTCTTTCACACAGTATTTAAGCTTATTGTTTTAACTCAACCGTTTAAACATCTTTCCTACCAATGTCTCAGAATATTATCAGTAATAACAAACACTTAAATATATGTTTACTTACATGTGAACATTGTTATGTGTTCATGTATGAATGTTTATGTACAGATGCTGTATATCAAGGGTCTCCAACTTTTTTCAATCGCAGAGCTACTTTTATACAACAAAAGACGCAGAGATCTACTCCTTTTTGCAGTCGTAATAAAAAATCTATTCTAGTCTATGGTAACAACTCAACTCATTCTAGATCATTTGTTAAAATCTAAATCCTTTGGGGAGCCACAGGTTGGAGACACCTGCTGTATGTAATGTTTACCAGTATTTTTTAAAATAATTTATTAATTTAATACATTTAATAGTTTAATGCTGACTTCATAAATTGTACCAAAACTAAACTTCAGGCCTTTTATAAATGTCTGAATCTGAAAACTTTTTGGGTTGTGGTTTGCAACTGACTAAATAAATAAATAATCCATAAATTCCTAAAATAAATAAGGTTTCGCTTTGACAGAAGCTGGGGCTGAGCGGGCGCGCGCAGGCTGCACGTGCACGCACCTGTTTGAAGCAGAAGGGCATCGTGAGCACCGAGACCCCCACGATGCTGTTCACCACGTTCATGATGAGACCCCAGTTAGACGCCGTCATCCTCACTCGCTTTCACGTCCTGCGTTTGTCAAATCTGAGGAACGGACACGACGTCAAACAACAAAGTACTTCTGTGTCCACTGTCCAGTGACGTGGCGCTGCAGCGGAAACACAACACAACACAACACAACACAGACACACACACACACACACACACATATCAGAAAGTTTCAGCGTCACGTAGTTTTCACACGACTACTGTAATGTTTACCTCCATGTCATGAATGTAAACAGCCAAATAAACTTTAGCTTTAGCCTTGAAGCTAACGTAAGAAGTGAAGGCTACTCACTTCTGACAGCGCCTGGGCTCCACTCTTCACGTAATCATCGGTAATATCTTCTCTTCAGACAGTCCTCTGTGAAGGGTAGTTGTTCTTAATGTGTATTTATGTCTCAGATGTACAGAACGGGGAACAACTCCACTTTTGAGCGTATCCAGGAAGTAAAGTGTGCAGTGAACACATGAGGGAGAGAGCTGCAGAAACACGCCAGCGCCCTCTAGCGGACTCATGCACAATGGCAACAGGTACAGGCACTTCTTCGTAAAAGGACCATTGGCCACCTTCTGAAACAATAGGCTTCTTATACAACCCCTCTCCGAAAGATCAGGCATGTTTTCTCAGATGCTCCTTCGGAAAGGGAAGCAGAGAACGGTGACTGTGAGCTGCGTTCTGAACCAGCAGAAATACAAAAGGAAGGAATGAGCTCATCACCTGGATGTCATCAGAAGGTTTCAGATATATCCGTCAGCCTGTCACCTTGGTCTCATACATGACTATTGTGTTGTGTGACCAGGAAAGAGAAGGAGTGTGGGCTTTAGAAGAGGGGGCTTTGACCTCAGAGCTTCAGTCCAGCAGGGTGTGTTTGCCCCTGGAGAAAGAGGGCTTTAGAAACAAGAATGTGATCTTAGATGCTTCAGAAGCACATAGTGTAGAGTGTTTTTATGGGAGTTTGTTTCATCATGAGAACGTCATTTTTTCTTGCTTTTCAAAGTTATTTGTTCTCCTTATTGTTTATGTTGTAGCTATCAGGGTTTATAAGGACACTTTTCTAGATAGACATTTTTGATATATTTATGGTCATTCTTGGGCACGCATGTGCATATGTGTGTGATTAGAAGGGTTACACAACCCTGGCTATTGTGTGCAAGTGACCCCTCAAAATGAATGTGACAGAGCGGTTGATTAGCTGGAGGGTCCTGTCTGTCTGCAGCTAATCCTTCAGGGCGGAGCCTGGATAGGCTTGCGCCTCAGAGAGCCTGTATACGACCATGTAGCTCCACTTGTACGTGTGTCTTTCTGCACTTAATCCTTCAGGATGGACTAAACACCGTGGGATGAGGTATTAGTGCAGTTACAGCCAGGGGTCAACTATGTGCTTGTGTCTGATGGGAGAAAAGAGAGGGCCCACTCCACAGTGGTCAATTAGACTACAGAATACTGTGGATTTGTATGTGTAGAAGTTACGGTAGAATCCAGGAATGGATGAGAAGAAGGTGCATTTTTGGGTAGATTTGGATGGATAACTGAAGGAAGGCATTTGGATTTGACCTAAGTCTCTGGGTGTGACCTTGGGTCATTTGGGGGTCATGGGGCACAAAGCAGACCACTGACCCTGCACAGGTCAAGCATGCTGGCAGCTGAAAGGACTCCTTTGTGAGGCTTGGCTCGTTCTCTATTTCCCATGAGCACAAGGGCCTGCGTGCCCTACACTGAGATGCATCCAGACAAGGTGTGTTTCTCAGAGGATGTTATAGAAACTCTCAGCGTCTTGCTGTAGCTGAATGATCACATGAACACACAGGTTTGTGACCGACTTCACTCCTCTGTGCTGATTTTCTAAAAGGCTGTGGTGCACATTGTGTCAGAAAGAGATGTATAAGATTCTAGGTGTGCCAATGGCCATTACTTGCGTACATCTGTTAGCGCCTTCCTAATGAGCGCATGTACGCTGCCTCTAGTGCTGTGTGTGGCCCTGTGAAAGGCAGAGAGGAGCCCTCTGCTCCAGTAATCACATTTAATTACACAGCAGCATTAGAAGGCCCATGAATGGGGTTTTTAGGCAGGCCTCTTACACTGAAATTGGCTGCATCCAGCTGAACATTGCCCATCTTTGTCCTAGCTGTCCTGCTATATTCTATTAAGACTCTGTCTTTTGACTATCAGTAAAGCACTAGGGTCTAGCACTAACAACTGTTGGGCTACTGCTACATGTTAAAAGGAAAGGTAAAGGGAACAATAGGCGTTTTCTTGGCTGAGCAGCTAGCGTCTGCCCCATTAATGGACCACACATTGGACTACATTCACAATCACATTGCATGTAGCATTGCACTTAAAGGGTTTCTGAAAGAAACCTGTAGATAAAAACTGGGGGGCTTCTTTTGGGGAGAAGGGAAGGAATTTACTTTGTTTATCTCCAGGGGGGTTCTTGGGTTGTGAAATCAATTTATTTGCAGAACATTTTAGGATGACAGACTGCGCTCAATGGTATGCCAAGTGGTCCTCTGTGTTTGTGTTACACATGCAGCGTGTATGTTCTTTGTGTGTTTGTGCACGCTCACATTACCTGTTACCAGGAGTTCTCTCATCTCAGATTGTGACGTGTCACATGTTGACAGTTTGAAGGGACTTGTTTCTGTCACATGATGATGTCACATTCATGGCTTGTGATTAAATCTATTTTAGACTATATTTACCTTTTCATGTTTATATTATTTTATAAAAGATACGTGAGCGCCAAACTGAGGGTGGGAGGGTTGTCAAAAGTAGAAAAATGCACAGATATTTATCTGGATGCCTCTTTAAGCAAGAATCAATGCAAACATTATCTGCCGTTTTGGAAATATTTGATTTATTGTGGAACTAGATTTATGTGTGTGTATTGTTTGTGTCCAATTTAAGAGCATTTTATAAACAATAACTGCACCATTTCTGAGCTTTACTGAAAATGTTGAATGTAAAAATGCGGCCATTAGTTTTTTCTTGCAAACTTACAAACATGCAGACAGACACACCCTGGTGAAACATTACCCCCCGGGGGAGGTAGTATACACTGTGGTATAAAATTGGTATTGATTATTGAGTCTTTTCATTAATCATTAGTAGTGTATGTTGGTTTTGAAACATGAGCGTCTTGTGGCACCACCTGCAGGTGAAAGTCTGATCCCGTCTGATCCAAGAGGCTAAGCAGAGTACAGCCTGGTTATGGCTGTGATGGGAGACTTGTGGGAACAGTGTGACTTAGTAGTTTGTGTGTGTAGTAGTGCCACCACAGTGTATGGAGTTGATAAATAATTCCATGTGAAGCAGCTTTGGGTGTTATGAAAAGCACTATTTTAGTCTATAATTATTATAGTATTGTGGCAACATTAGAAATGGGCTCTGGGTACATTCTGGTCAAGAATATCTAATAATTGTCCTACGTCCAGCGAGGAAACAATCTCTCCCATCCAAATCAATGTTATCATTTTTATTTAATTTTAATATTTTAGAAGGCAGAGCTGACTCCTCTGCTCTGGTACATGGCTGCTGCACGTCAGTACGACAAAGATTCTGAAATACAGTTGTGTAACAAACAGTGGCCAATGACTCTTTTCACACACACACACCCAGTGTGTGCGGGATTCATGCTGCTTTCCTCTATTTTGTGTGTGTGTGTGTGTGTGTGTGTGTGTGTGTGTGTGTGTGTGTGTGTGTGTGTGTGTGTGTGTGTGTGTGTGTGTGTGTGTGTGTGTGTGTGTGTGTGTGTGTGTGTGTGTGTCCACATGCGTCCACATGTGCAGCTGCATGCCTCACACAGCCCGTGTCTGGGGTTGGCACAAAGATTGAGGGAATTGCTTCACATTCTGACAGAGGACTCACTGGTGGCTCAGACCAGGGGTGATCATTTAGAGTGTGAGAATGTTGGGCTCAGAAAAGGCCGGACACAGGGCGCTCATTTATCTCTAATAATTGACAGCAGAATCCAGGTCTGGTGGCTCTTAATACTGCTCTGTGGCTCTCTAGGGTCTCTGGCTCTCTGGCTCTCTGGCTCTCTAGGGTCTCTGGCTCTCTGAATCTCTGGATTTCTGGCTCTCTGACTCTCTCTTTCAATTGTGTCACTAAGATTTCAGCATTAAGACGTTTCAAAACCTAATCAGAATTGCGTGTGTGTGTGTGTGTGTGTGTGTGTGTGTGTGTGTGTGTGTGTGTGTGTGTGTGTGTGTGTGTGTCTCGTGAAAGCCGTGCGGTAGAGCATGTAGCAGAGACATCGAAGAGCTGGAGCAGAATGGAGAGAAGGACTCCCTGAAAGAGGAAGCAGAGAGAAAGGACGAGAGAGCAGAATGAAGGGGGAGAGCAGGTCGCACACTCGAAAGACACAGGGTTTCCTCGTGATCACATCTTCTTCCTCTGTTTTTGAAATCCACAGAGAAGAGAGAGCAGCCATTTACTGAAGCCCACACATAATGGCCACTTTTATTTACTCAAGCCCATTTAGGCACCACGAGGACGCTGCTGTGCAGGCCTAAATAAGAGTTTCACAATCTGCCAATTCCACTCCTCTTGGCTGTGTGTTTCTACTGCAGCCACAGACATACATCATACATTTCTGTCAAACAAAAATGTCTTTTAATACAACTCCAACATGTGGACACATTTAGATGTGACCTGCATGAGCCCTGCCTGGAGCTCCATTGACATAAGAGGGGTCAGCCGTGACCTCTGGTCCCACCAGACCTTACAAATTCTGTCCCAAATGTGCTCAATGCACATTATTTGTGAACAAAATCACTGCATAAGATGATCTAATGACAAATCAGACTGATCATTCACTGTTTAACCTCGGGTAAAATGGACCCGCACAGTGATTAAAGAATAACCTACATCTTTTTCTTTCTAACTGAATTTTGATGATTTTTCCTAACTTGACCAGCCCTGGGTAATTTAGACCTTAATTATGGTATTTTTCTTCTACTTTTAATCACTGTGGCGGGTCATCTTGACTCGTTAATGACCGTCTTTTTCCTCCTTTTGAAACACATTGAAGGGATTCTAAAAACAGACATTTAATTTGAAGTTTTGACCTAGTTATAATAATTTACAAACATCACAAAAATCTATGACCCGCACAGTAACATTTAGGATTCATTATTCTGTCATATGGTTCATAAAACAACATGATGTGGTTATTCATCTTTTACATTTGTCACTGAACACAACAAGAGAAACAAAGGCATTAGTCCTGACTCATATAAAACATGCACATTTGCCTATCGCGCCGCACAGTCCTGCTGCAGCCTTCAGTGTGGGGCCTCTGAACCTCCACCATTCAAAACAAATAAGCTGCCACATAAAGATCATCCCTCATTTCTTCTGCCGTCATTCAGCCCACGGCCCCCAGTGTCGCGAACAGCACAAACTGGTCCCAAAATGCTGCCGCCCTTTGAAAAGAAATATGTGCTTTGTGAATCTCTGAGCCACACTCGGGAACACAGGACCCAAAGGCTCACATCTGTAAGGGATTTGTACAGTGAGATGATACCAATAATAAATAATGTGAACATTTGAAACCCATTTCAGTCCCCCTCTGTGTGACCCGACACAAGGTCAGGGAGTGTGTGGAGGAGGCCGAGCCCTGCTTCCACATGCGCACTGCCTTTGTACCTCTGTATTATTCATGCATGTCTATGATATGACGAATTAGACATCCCACAATCCCACAGGTGTTCACAATTCACCAGTTATGACCTCGGCTTGCTGTCCTTCCGTTCACCTTTTCCCTGAAACATTGTCCACCTCGATATTTGGACTCCTCTTATCAAACCCATAGTGATCTCTTTATTTGTTAAATTAATAAAAATTCACAAGATGCTATGATGATTAAGGCGTGAGAAACACCCTCTGAGTGGTAATGGTGACTATGGCTTTTGACCAGTAGGGGGGGCTCTTATGCATGCGTTTGGGTACGCAACTGCTCTCACTGGTCAAAGGTCAAGAGGTGAATCAACAACAACAATAATAATAATAATAATAGACAAAAAATAGATAGAAAATTATTATTACTCTTCTTATTCATGTTTCTCTTAGACTTGTGGGTTTCAGCTTCCTGTTTGAAGCATGACTCTTTTATTTTGATTTCAAGTATAAAAACAACCGTCATTTATCATCATTCTTTTCTTCGCAACTTAGTTCATTTTTGACAACCTTTTACTGCTGGACATTAAAGTAAAGATTATTTCTCTTATTTCTGAATCAAACCTTCTGAGATGGATTGGGACCAGTTTCTCCCAAATCACAAATATTGTGGAGTATTGTTCAAGCTTTACCCTCCTCTACATTAACCAAAGAACATGTCGGTGACTTTGGAGTTTGATCTTTGTCTGAGATTGTTCACACTTCTAATTAGAGTAAATGAGTCATCAAAGGCCTAAACTACAGCTCATCAGCTTCACAAACAGAGTCAGTTTGAACTCCCATCTTTCCCAATTTCCAAACTTTTTCAGCAGGACCATGGATTGTACCGGAGGACTGCTGTTGCCATGGCAGCCGTGGATCTTTAGGGCCAGGACCTTTATCTGAACTCTGGTACCCATGAACAACCCATGAACAACCCATGAACATGACATATGAATGAACAGCATCTTTGTCCTGATGTACGTTTTTAAGGCCGAGGCGAGAGGAGAGACTTCAGACACATCAACACAAGAGCAGTCCCTCACACTACATCAGCTCCATGTGAGAATGATGAATGAGCTCTCCTGCACCGGAAGCACACGTTACAATCCCCTGCCTGAGCCCGTACCCACTGCTCCTCCCCCGTGTGCGTCTCCCCTTGCCTCCCCTCTCTCCCCCAGTGACCTCATAAGCTTCTTTCCTTCCTGGGGTCCAGAAACCCCTCCCTCTACTGAGAGTGTCCAGTGTCCACACAGCTTGATGGCGAGGTCCTCTTCACATGGATTATGATAAACGGCCGCACTAACACAACATTTTTTATATAATTTTGGCGATTCATGTGTCAACAAACATCACAATGGGATGAATGGATTTTATGGATGAAGATGTATCTATGTATCTATCTGCAGATGTTTAAACATATTCAGGGAGTATGCATTCAAGTAACCGGTAACAACACACGCACACACACACACACATACACATAAACACACACAAACAGACCCACACACACACACACACACACACACACATAAACACACACACAAGCAGACACACATACACACACACAGCTCCATTGAGTATCGCTTGGGAAAGAAAATAATTTTTATTTCTTCAAAAATCCAAACCCATTGTGTAAAGATTTTCTGTTCCATTCAACGGCAAATGCAATAGTGGAATTCACAAACGGACTGTGCACGTAAAGACATGAGCTGGAATACATTCAATTAGACAGTTGTTGCACTAACTCTGAGAATATTCACTGCTCTGAGATTAATATAATGAAAAGGAAAGTGGAGAATCTGTTTTGTCTATACGCTCCTGATGATGAGCATTTATTTTCAGCTCTATCACGAGATTGCCAAATCAACAAACGGACACTGTAAAACGTGCCGGTGACCTAGAAAATAAATAGACATACATTGATCAAATTGTTGTATTTGATATGTTCATGAATAATGTTTTAAAATACACTATTTGCTTTATACAAATGGACTCTTCTAAAGGCTGAGTCTCCAGGCTGTGAGTGGCTCCACATTCTCCACTGAACATATTGTGATCCCAGTTCCATCGTGTTTATTCCCCTGAAATTCATGCGGGAGTCTGGAGTCAGGAAAGTTAAGGACAGAAAGAGACTGTTCAGCTAAATAAGTGTTTTCTGCACAATGTGGAATACTCTGTGTGTGAGGAGATTTCAGTTCAGGAGGAAACATTGCTTTGCTTTGGAGCTCTATGAAGTAAAAGTACAGCCCGTTGTGCAGAAGGAGACATGACGCTGAAACAGTCCGTTTGTGTTCAGTGCAATAACATGAGACTTCTCTTCACGGGCTGTGAACACGGATACAGACCATAGGCCTAGTTTTAAAACGTCTATATGTGGCTTTCAATTTAACGATAGCAAATCTCATTAATGTCTGAATTTGATAATCTGATTAAAAATGGGCAAATTACTCTTAGTGTTATTATTAGACAGTTATACGTAAACCCACCTTGTAGGCACCAGGAGCCTGAATGGCACCAGGAGCCTGAATGGCACCAGGAGCCTGCATGGCACCAGGAGCCTGCATGGCACCAGGAGCCTGCATGGCACACGCTTTTGTCCAACAATAAACACATTCACTAGTCGCGCGCATCCCTTTAAGCGCATATGTTCCAAAAACACACGGCCACACGCACACGGACTGTCCACCAGCTCTCATCTACACGTGAGGGATGTGTGGATTATTGCTAAACGTCCGGGGATATACAGCGCATTTGTTTTGTTCTTCGTTCCCTTCCCGTGGTGGAGGCTGTGCACTCGGGCCGTTTCAGATCCACAGACGTGTGGATCTGAACGAGTAGAAAAGACACTCAGAAATCATCATAAAGTTTTAAGTTTGTAAAGTGTGGCTCACGAACCTGAATTTAAAGCTTCAGTCAAACTTGAAAGTACAACACGTCTGTTGCGGCCAACAGGAGTGAGAGGCGCACAAACACACGAGAGACAATAATGTCGTTTAACGGCACAACTTTATGTCTTTCTTGGGTCGTGTCTACAGAGAATTAATCTAAATAAAATTAGGTACAATCATCATTTCGCATCATTGTGAATGATGGAAGCAACGCTGTTGTTTACTCAATTTGGCAGAAAAAAATATTGCATTTTTATCAGAGATTATTTTATTTTTATATACTTGTAATTTTCACTGCTGGCGCCAGAGTTTCACGAATTATTATAAAATATTTTATTACCAACACAAGCATATGGGGCCTAAATATCTATATGTACTGATATAGACTTACCGGCCTGGTAATCTATATATATAGATATATATAGATATATATATCTATATATATAGATATATAGATATATCTATATATAAGCCCCCAAAATATATATTTCACTCAAAAATCACATTTTCAAAAGCGAAAGCGCGCTCTTTCTAAACTCGAGGATTTGAAAGAAACGACAAACAATAACGACAAATGTAAATTTAATACATCACTTGTAGTTAACAGTTCGCATGAAGCTTACAGATGTTTTAAACAAATAGCATTGAAACAATTATCTTATACAATTACAAACCTAAAAACTGCCATCACGAGTCCCGCTGAAGCCTTCTCAGAGAAAAGCTTTTCAGTCTTTTCTGAGCTTTCTCTGAAAATGGCGCGTCAAAAATCACGAGGAGCGGGTGGGGTCCGCGGTGTTCAGCGTCTCTCCTCCGGTGCCCGTCTCCTGCGGTGCTATAACCGGCCTGGTAATCCCCGGTGCCAAACGCCAACGAGATGTCGGTGACGGCGTCTTTCAGGCGCTTGTGCCAAACGCAGTGAAGAAGGTCCGTGTCCGCTACAGTCTGTGGTCCGCGCCTTCGCTCCTTACTCTGCGCCTTGATCCTATCTCCTTCTTAATCGTGATGTTTTCTTGTTGAACTACACCAAGTCTGCGTCTGCCAGCGCCTTCTCCCGTGAGCCGCAGGAGAATCGCCCATGTAAGCCATGCATTGTTGCCAGCAGCTGGACTGGGGCTTCGAGGGTAAGCTGCGAAGACTGATCAGTGTGTGCGCCTCGCCTGCACCCTCCCTCACCCTCCCTCCTGCTCCCTCCTGCTCCCTCCTGCTCCTTTCACCCGCCATGGCACTGAAGGGGAGGGAAGAGGGAAGTCCACGCTGATGACTGAAGGTACTCGTCACTGTGTTGTGTGGCCGACTATTCTACGCATTACAACAGTAAATCCATGTTTAAAGAAAGTTATGCGCTGCGTGAGATGACGTCTGCCAGATTCAGTGTGCACGTGCTGTCTACTAAAGGTATGAAAGGTCATCTTAACCATTGGCATCAGAGGAAAATGAAATTAACGCAATATTGTTGATTCAACCCCGCCTTATTAAACTTTCTGACACCATATCCTAATGCAGGCTTCAATGGCAGCTTCACATTGGATCATATTCATGTGAGCGCTGCTTAACATTGAACGACTTTTGTTCATACTATTTTTCTTTGCATGCACAGTTTAGCGCCTGGATTGTTACACCTTTATAAGGAGCACTGGCCTAAATCAGGGTGATTTTTTTTTCTCTCTAAATCATTGTGATTGTAACCCCTTAAGTTTGAGTTGACCCATGTGACCTCAGTGCAAGAGGCAGCTGCCACCCTAAAACATGATTATGATGTTGGAAAGATACCATACTATTAAAGCGTGTGATTAAGGAGAGGCAAGAAGCTGATGTGGCGTGTTATAGAAGCTGACCCAGAGATACTTGAACTTCTTCACCCACACCCACTATGCAAAAGAGCTAAAACAATACTATATATTCCCCTTGTTATTACCTCATTTACACACTTAGAGTGATCTATATATTCTCCTATAGATACATAGTATTGCTCCTCCTGGTACCTCTGGCCTGCACCACATGCGCTCATGGTGCACACACATGCAGCAGGTGTCTGATGCATGAGTGTCTTATATTATGTTTGATTGGGTCGATGGAGATGTTTTTATCTCCTCTCTGCTGTCACACATGTCCTGCTAATCAGTACTCTCACAAACGGGGTTCAGTGCTGATGCTTCCCTCCGCTCCGAGGTCTCTGATCCATGTGGAGAATGTTCAGCACAGTTCAGCACAGTTCAGCACAGTTCAGCACAGTTCAGCATGTTATAACATCACAGTGCCTATAATTACTTATAATTATAATAAAACGATAAAAAGGCTGTTGCTGGTGATATTTCACGGCCATTTATAGTCAGCCATTTTAGGATATACATTATATATATGTATGTATGTATGTATATAGATATACATAATGTGTATATAAATATATATATATCAGTTTTTTTTATTCATATTTCTTAAACCTCACTCTTTGTGGGTGTTCATCATAAGTGTATTATGTAATAAACATAGTTTTAAACAGTTATAAGTGTTGCATTGTGCGCTGCCTAACTTAAATCTGTGCTGATGTTCTAAAGTACAGTGCAGCACAATTCTGTAAATGTCAAATGTAAAGGAACCAATGAGGAGTCTCTGAGTGGTTATGTCTGACGTCCCCGACTCTGAGACAGAGTGGACTCGCAGCATGTATACACACACTGGCAGAGCGGGCTGCTGCTGCTGCTGCTGCTGCTGCTGCTGCTGCTGCTGCTGCTGCTGCTGCTGCTTCCTCTGTGAAGTCTATGGAGAAGTGTAGAGTAAGTAATAATCTTTATTTATGTTGCGCCTTTCACAGACCAGAGTCACAAAGCGCCAGCTCTCCTTCTAATGTTCAGTACAACAGTGTTATGGCTGCGTGGAGCTGATCCAGTGTCAAAGACCAGATTTCCTATGTTTGACTGATTTGGTAAATAAACACACAAAAACCACTGTACAGAGAACAAGAAGATCCGGTCTTATTCAAGTACAATTCTGTGAACAAATCAGTTTTCAGTATAACTAGTGTAAAAGGATTATACATTTAAATACTATCTGGAAACTTGCTCCGTGCGCTTTACTGTTACTTCACAGTAAATGTATTTATATTGTTGCTTTATAGTGGCATATGAGCACATTTCTGTACACAATACATTTTTAATTGGCACAAACATCTCCCTTATTACCTTTAAGCCAGTCGCCAGCATGGAGGTAGGACCCCAGCATGGAGGTAGGTCCCCAGCATGGAGGTAGGTCCCCAGCATGGGGGTAGGACCCCAGCATGGAGGTAGGACCCCAGCATGGAGGTAGGACCCCAGCATGGAGGTAGGACCCCAGCATGGAGGTAGGACCCCAGCAACCCCAGCATGGAGGTAGGACCCCAACATGGAGGTAGGTGGAGGTAGGTCCCCAGCATGGAGGTAGGACCCCAGCATGGAGGTAGGTCCCCAGCATGGAGGTAGGACCCCAGCATGGAGGTAGGTCCCCAGCATGGAGGTAGGACCCCAGCATGGAGGTAGGTCTCCAGCATGGAGGTAGGTGGAGGTAGGACCCCAGCAACCCCAGCATGGAGGTAGGACCCCAGCATGGAGGTAGGACCCCAGCATGGAGGTAGGTGGAGGTAGGTCCCCAGCATGGAGGTAGGACCCCAGCATGGAGGTAGGTCCCCAGCATGGAGGTAGGACCCCAGCATGGAGGTAGGACCCCAGCATGGAGGTAGACCCCAGCATGGGGGTAGGTCCCCCAGCATGGAGGTAGGTGGAGGTAGGTCCCCAGCATGGAGGTAGGACCCCAGCATGGAGGTAGGACCCCAGCATGGACGTACGGTCCCCAGCATGGAGGTAGGACCCCAGCATGGAGGTAGGACCCCAGCATGGAGGTAGGTCCCCAGCATGGAGGTAGGTCCCCAGCATGGAGGTAGGTCCCCAGCATGGGGGTAGGTCCCCAGCATGGAGGTAGGTCCCCAGCATGGGGGTAGGTCCCCAGCATGGAGGTAGGTCCCCAGCATGGAGGTAGGTCCCCAGCATGGAGGTAGGTCCCCAGCATGGAGGTAGGACCCCAGCATGGAGGTAGGTCCCCAGCATGGAGGTAGGACCCCAGCATGGAGGTAGGTGGAGGTAGGTCCCCAGCATGGAGGTAGGACCCCAGCATGGAGGTAGGTCCCCAGCATGGAGGTAGGTCCCCAGCATGGAGGTAGGTGGAGGTAGGTCCCCAGCATGGAGGTAGGTCCCCAGCATGGAGGTAGGACCCCAGCATGGAGGTAGACCCCAGCATGGGGGTAGGTCCCCCAGCATGGAGGTAGGACCCCAGCATGGAGGTAGGTCCCCAGCATGGAGGTAGGTCCCCAGCATGGAGGTAGGACCCCAGCATGGACGTACGGTCCCCAGCATGGAGGTAGGACCCCAGCATGGAGGTAGGACCCCAGCATGGAGGTAGGACCCCGGCATGGAGGTAGGACCCCAGCATGGGGGTAGGTCCCCAGCATGGAGGTAGGTCCCCAGCATGGAGGTAGGTCCCCAGCATGGAGGTAGGTCCCCAGCATGGAGGTAGGACCCCAGCAACCCCAGCATGGAGGTAGGACCCCGGCATGGAGGTAGGACCCCAGCATGGAGGTAGGACCCCGGCATGGAGGTAGGACCCCAGCATGGGGGTAGGTCCCCAGCATGGAGGTAGGTCCCCAGCATGGAGGTACAGTAGGTCCGAAGGGAAGATTCTGTCTTCCTCGTCATTGTAAATTTCTCCTATGTGAGATAAATAAAGCACATCTTATCTTATCTTAAACTCTTTTCTCTTTTGGAATCTGTTGGTTTTGTATCATTTTGTTCTAGTGCGCGATCAGAGCACACACATGGTTGTCTGGGCCTTTGGAAGTAGCACAGACTTTAGCTAATGATCATATATTTATGATTTCAATAGGCAGCCAGTGGTGGTACAGCGCCTACCTGAGCTGGAAGATTTTACCTCCAGTTTGTGTGTTTAGTGTTATGGGAAACCGGAGCACCTGGAGGAAACCTATGCAGACACAGAAGCTCAGATCCTGTGCCACCTGGGACCCACCAATAAAAATTGGAGAATCTTTTATTAGAAAAAACATTTGCAACATTTTCACATCCGTACTTGTTTGTTTTGTTAAGACGCAGACTGATGCATTTTATGTTTAAAATTCTGTTTTTCCACAAGATGCAAACAGAACGAGGAAACAAATAATGGAAAGATATAGGGGCAGCATGCTCTTCAGCTGTGGAGATCAGGACTGGGTTTGATCTTCTCCTTCAGACCCCACAGGTGCAGAGACTGACGTGGTCCTAGTTCCTGGCTGCATATTTTTAAAAACATACCGGGTTCGAGCTGGGTCTGAGCTTGGAAAAAGTTGGGTTCAGATGTCTCTCGAGAACAGGCCGGCCTGAGCTTTACTTTTCCCTTTGTTGCAGGGACCTGGTGTGGGGTCCAGTGTGGGGTCCAGCGTGGGGGTCACTGCCTTGAGTGCTTTGACTAACCGTGCCACCATGTCAGATGTGCTTTGACATCCCAACTTCAAGAGATGGAGGCATCCTGTGAACGCTATGAAACAAATTAATCCAAAATCAAGAGCAAAAAATGGATGACAAATTTGTCACGATAACAAAATTTGCTGGACAATTAATTGTCTCAGAAATTATTGTGATAAGAAATAATATTGTCGTTCTGAAATCATTTTCATCTAATACAATGATAATGATGCAGGTACACCTTTTCAAACAGAAATAGACTTTTATTTTTAAAGACCACCGCCGGAAGTGGCGGAAATAGCGGACGGGCTTTGATGCTAACAGAATTAAGCTGTTGTCATATGTTCACAACTACTGTGTCCCCCATTGTCAATCCTGGTTAAGTCCTGGTTTAGTCCTAGTTTAGGTCCTGTTTTGGCTGTATTTTGTATTCTTGAGTTATTTCAGTCTGCTCGCTAAACTGCTAATGTCCCCGTGACCACTTTGCGACTCTCTGACCCGAGAGGGAGGGGGAGAGAGAGAGACGGGGAAAACAAACAAGCATGCAAATGGAATTTATCGCGGCCAGAAAAATGATCAAGCTAATTTTAATTATCATCCGATTGATTGATTTATTGAATATCGCGACAAACTTAGACTTGTTGGTAAACCTAGACTTACCAACAAAAGGAAACAGAGCAAATTACCTCAATATTCTTGCACGAGAGCAGGAATGTCCAAACTAAGGCCCATGGGCCAATTGCGGCCCTCTGTGTCCTGTTATGTGACCCTCTGCCACTAACACAAAGCAATCTATGACATCACAAGTTTACAGTGTCATCCAGCCAACTTCAGCTCGGTCAATATAAGAAGGTTACACCTTGTAGAACTCAGAACCTTGAACACTCAGGCATTGACTTAATTTGATTTAACTGACATTTATTTTTGAGTCACTAAAGGATGTATTGAGCATGAATGTACCTGGCGAGATAGTAAACATTTGTCATTCAGCCAGTTTCAGCTCTGTCAAAATATGACACGACCTCATGAACAGAGTGAAGCCAGTCAGTTTTACAAACCATGTGTTGGCCGCAGACAACTCGGATAAACTCAAGTTAAACCTCTTACTAAAAAGTTTGGGTACCCCTGCGATAGTGTGTATTACAAATGTGTATGCTTATAATATATTCCTTTGCACTTGAGTAAACAGGTTATATGTGCTGTGTGCTACTCATTCCTACTGTTCTGGAACCTGTGATGCAACACTGACATTTCCCCCTCTGGGACGAATGAAGGATTTCTTTAGGTTAGTTCATGATACATGCCCAAGTACTTATGGACTTGACTAAATGCCTGAGCCCGGCCTGAAGCAGAGCTGCCCTCCGATGCTACAGGTTCATAAATACCACACTCCCTCTGGAATACAGACAAAACATAAATCCCATGTTTTCCAGTTTCACTGCTGTTGATAAATGAGGGCCATTTTCCATAGATTTTTTGTTCTTTCTAATATGGAAATAAAAAACAGTGGGTCCTTTTTGTGTATGTCTAAATATATAAATCTTGACTGATTTCCCCTTTTACCATGTTCTCTTTGATTCAGTCACTCTCCTTTGCTCTGGGGCCAGTGGGACTCATGGGGGGCCTTGAAACCGTTTTCCTTATCTTCTTTCATCATTGAGCACAGGGATGCCTTGAAACCACACAGTCAGTAATTGCTTTTTTTCAGGAATCCCTGTGCAGACTGACCAGCAGCCAATCAGAGACCTCGTTTACTGTCGATGATTGACAGCACTCTGGCTGTCCACCATCCAATCAGAAGTTGAAGCAAGCCAGCAAGAGTTTTAACCCATTGTCTGCACACGCAAACATACAAACCAGACGGTCCTGGTGATTCCTAAACTTATACCTTTTGTTATTTTTTATTTTTTATGACCTGATTTGAAATGATTAATTATGTACCCTAAACTTTATTGGGACAAAATTATCTTTTTCCCAAAATGAACAAAAGTGTGGAACAAAAGTTACTCTGCCTCTGCAGTACTGTTTCAATTCTTTAATTCAAGTCCAAAAGAAACAGAAGTCGTCCATGAAAACTTTTTTTCTCTGAGAAAATAGTTGATTCTCCAACAATAGAACTGAGATTCAAATAATTATAACACATGAAATGCAATAAGACACACACACAGGAGGCATCAGTCCATGGGGTAAGATGACCACTGTCCATGAATTATCATAAATGTCCTATAACATCACTGTCCTAAGACCCTCCTGCATCGCCAAGGAACCACTCCACAAGCGGACAGGCTGTGGATCCAGGCTTGAAGGGGCTCCCAGGGGGGTGGGGGTGTAGCCCTTGGGTCTGAGCAGGGGGGCAACCAGTTCACAGATGCAGGTCAAAGAGTCCAGGACCAGGTTCCCATCATGATGCCATGAAAGAGGCAATAGCGGGTGAATAGCAATGAACAGACTACAGCTGTAGTTATAATGATGAAGTAGGAGAGAGGAGAAGAAGTTGCCATAAAGGTGTCTCCACGTGCAGCTTGTCGGATAATCTTTGTTTTTTACTTTACCACCTGATAGTTATGGCCCTGCTTTTCAACATTTCATGGGAAATGGATGGAGCCTAATACGGGGCTGGAGTCAGCAAACACTCACTGTGGAGACTCACCTTCCAGCAGGACCCTAAAAAATCCCAAGCTGCAATGGAATATATTCATGTATTAGAATTATAAAATTTGGTGTATCATAACACATTCACGTCATAGTTGGCTGTTACATTTTTTGGTCGTTTAGTAAAATATGTAATATACATAATATTTTTGTGTTCGTAACCATGACTAAATGTGCAAAAGTCTAAGTACTTCTTACAAGACTGGTGGTGGTCAGTGTGTTGACATGCTGCAATCTCACTCCGAGCCGGTGGGGGTGGACCCAGAAAGAGAATTATCCAATGCTTTTGTATGGCGCCTTCTTTCCTCGGCTCATGACCCAATGCTACGTTCCAGATGTGTGTCAATGCTGAGGGGAGTATTTTTTTAGATCAGTCTAGTTTAGCTGCTATGGATTTTACAATGCACTTGTCAAATCAATGGGGCTCATGCCGGCTAACGCATGCGCAAATGCGTTCTTTCACATTATCCAGCCCCCGTGGCCATTTTGAAATAGCCCACAGAGGGCAAAAGTGATGGCACATTAGTTTCAACAGCGGAGATAGGTGTGACTATGTCCATGAACATTTACAGTCTATGGTAGTGGTAGAACCTGAATGATTCGATGCTTTGAATAGCAATATTGTCACTGCTGAGGTGGGTATGGGGAGGAGGTGGGTTGTTGCTTGAGCTGATTCTTAGTGGAAAGCTGTTTCCACTAGTATTATTCTATTGTTTCTTCTGCTGTCACTGTGCAGAACAGAGCAAGTTGTAATGAGTTCCTGAACTTCTTTATCGACAAGGTCAGAGAGATAAAAGATCAGTCTTCCTTCCTCCAGTCAAGCTCACGTTGACCCTCCTCCTCGGAGCTGGTCATCATTCGAGGCACTCAAGTGGATATTTTATCCACTTTAAACAGCGAGAGACTGTCGGACCATTGATCACAAAAATGTAAAACATGTCACTCTAAGCTGGTATGTTCTCGTAAACATGCTGTTGTGGAGCCCCAATTTAAAAAAAACCAGCCTGGATCCAACCGATCTTCAGAACTTTAGGCCTATATCAAAGATCCCACTCTTGGCCAAAGTCCTGGAGAAGCTAGTTTATAATCAACTTACAGCGTTCTTGGAGACAAAAAAACAAATTTTTGAGACTTTCCAGTCTGGTTTCAGGAAGTTCCACTCCACTGAAACAGCTTTACTGGAAGTGTCTAGTGACATCATGATGGCTGCCGACTCTGGTAAATGCTCCATCCTGGTCCTGTTAGACCTGTCGACTGCCTTCAACACTGTGGACCATGGCATCTTATTTAGTAGACTGCAGGATTTGTGGTCGGCCTGTCAGGCTCTATGTTACAGTGGTTTAGATCCTACCTAACAGGTAGAAACTACTGTGTTTCCTCTAATACCATGATGTAAATATTTGCAGACCTACAGTGGGGTGCACCCCAAGGCTCCGTTCTTGGGCCTCTTTTGTTCTTGATGTACCTACTCCCTCTAGGCGAGTGTCTCCTATCACTTGTATGCAGACGATCTCCAGCTTTACTTCTCTTTTAAGCCCTTCAAACCCCAGAGATTGGCTTCTCTCACTAACTGTCTGACCAAAATAAAGATATGGCTAAGTGAAAATAGCCTCCAGCTAACTCTAGTAAAACGGAAACTCTAGTTGTAGCCCCGGACAGTATTGTGCCTCTTATCTGACCTAAGCAGCACCGTAAAAAGTCTGAGGAACCTTGGAGTAACTTTTAATGGAGGAATGTCCCTAGAACGACACACCAAACAGCTGATAAAAAACTGTAATTTCCATTCCAGACATATGGTCTCAGGTCAGAAGCTTGAAGATTGTCCATGCTTTTGTTTACTCGCGATAGGACTATTGCAACAGCCTGCTTACATGTCTTAGTAAAAAAAAGATCTGGCTTGTTTGCAAGTCCCCCACAATTCTGCTGCAAGGCTTTTGACCCGCACATAGGAGAGCCCACATTACTTCTATCTTGAAATTCTCACACTGGCTCCCTGTTGCAAATAGTTTAAAATTCTGGTGCTGGCATTCAGGACTCTTCATGGTCAGGCGCCTGATTACATCCAGGGCCTGATCCATCCCCATGTCTCCAACAGGAGCCTGAGGTCCTTCACTCAGAACCTGTTGATGATCCCTCGCACTTGTTTTAAAACTCGAGTAGACAGATCCTTCCAGGCAGTTGCTCCTCGCCTTTGGAATGAGTCTTTGCGCATGTTGTGCGTCGATAATTTCAAGTCCCAACTAAAGATCCAGTTGTTTGGACAGGTTCTCTTCTTACTGTACATAGGCTTCTGTGAACTGTGTCCATGATGGGTCCTCATCATGTACACATAGTTCACATGTACAGTCAATTTTAAATCTGACTATTT